AGCCGAACGCGGGGGTTGAACCCGCAACCTTGAGATTAAGAGTCTCACGCTCTGCCGATTGAGCTAGCCCGGCTTCCTTGGGTGCTCGATCAAGATTTATGACGCCAAGAGCGTGCGCTAAGGCTATCCGGGCCTAGCGGTGCGCTCGTTCACTAACCTTGGTGCTTGCTTTATGCCCTCTTCGTAGACACATTACCTACCTTGATTCAAATGGTGCTCTCCCCTTGTCGAGTGACCTGGTCTTGCGAATAGATGAGTATGACAGTGTAGAGGACTGATTCCTGTGGTTGTTGCTGCGCAATTGTGCTGTCTTGTGCGGTATGTATATCCAAGTACATTGCGCGTATAGATCACCTAGAACGACAGTAACATCATGTGGTATATATGCAATAGATCATGTGCCCACTGTATATCGTACTAGTAAGAAAGTCGAGTCAAGAATCTGTACATATTGAATGTCTGATCATACCCCATGCCTGGGTCCACTCTTTGTATCGAAACAAGCACCCACTCGCTCATTTATTAGCAAAGGATAGCCTCATCAATAACCCACTGCATGCACCGCATGTACATGATAACCATGACTCTTAGCCACCAGATCATCCCAATTCTCGACGGTGTCCTTCATAACATCCGTCCCTGTATAAATGTCAGAACAAATGAGCTCCAAGCCGGAATGAGTTTGATACATACCCCACATGAAGTCTTGCCAACTGGGATCAGCCCAAAGGTCGGGGTTCTTGCCCGAGCCTCGGATGGCCTCGTCTCGCTTGACCTGCTCCTCCCCATCGGGTAGGTGCAGCGCCTTTCTCGTCACTGCGGCGCTCTTCTGGATGCGCTCGGCACGGTCCTTGCGTACCAGCTCATAGACCGCCAATGCCTTGGGAACCGACTCGGTCATGGACAGAGCGCACATAAGCACACCAGCATCCTCGATTGCCTGCGCAGCACCCTGGGCCACATACGGCAGCATTGGGTGACACGCATCACCCATCAAAACGCATTTGTTTTCCACCCACGAGGGGAGGGGGAAGTGCGAGTTCAGAGTCCATTCCATGACCTCGCCGTCCGGAACGTAACTCAAGAGACTTCGAACCAAATCATTCCACTTGCTGTAGAAGGAGATCATCTCCTGCTTGTCGCCTTTGCTGGTCCAACTCTCTTCGTTGGAAGCCCCCGGCTTCTGCGGGTGAAGCAGTACCATGTTGTACACGGTGTTGTTCTTGATAGGGTAGGCCATGATGTGTCCTCCAGGTCCCATCCAACGCATTCCAACGTTGTGGTTCAGGAGCTCCAGAGCGCGCTGGTCGCCCTGCAGCTTGTCTTTGGGGATCAGAATGCGGTAGGCCGCATCACCGGTGGGCTCGCAGGTGTCTCTGACACCATGGTGGGATGCGATCTGATGGCGCAGATCGGACTTGATCCCGTCCGCAGCAATCACCACATCTCCAGAGATCCAGTCGCCCGATTCGAGCTGAACGGTGGCTTCGAAGTCGTCAACCGCTCGGACGACCCGGGAACTGATGCGCAACTCGATGTTCGCGTCCCGAACCCCGTCGAGAAGAATGCGCTGGAGATCCCCTCGATGAATTACTGCAAGTGGCGCATGGTATTTTTGACCGACCTACGATTCGGTTAGCAGCACAGGTATAACCCATGTCATATTAGATGGAGGTGGTTATACCTGAGGCATTAGAGGTGCAGTTCCAAGTTCCTCATTGTTGGCGTATCGGCGCAGGGAGTTCTTCTCCAGCACATTCGACTTCTCCATGACTTTGTCGAGAAGACCAAGCCGTCCCAGTATCCGCGCAGCATTCGGAGCGACTTGAATGCCTGCGCCCACCTCTGCGATCTTATGTACTCGTTCCAGGATCAGGACTTCATGTCCAGCCTTCTTCAAGCCCAAGGCAACCGTCAACCCGGCGATGCCGGCACCCACCACAATCACCTTAAAGGGGTGCTTTGCCTTGAAAGACCAGGAAAAGTCGTCTTGGAAACTGTCCATTATGGTGATACTTGTTTATTGATTCTGTTCAATGGGACCATATTTCCGAACATATTCGTCGGCGGTTTTATATGTCCCGCGTTGCGGTTGTATCTCGCGATGTCATTGATGACGACATGAATTTGAATGCGCTTGAGTCTATTGTGGGGCAGCATCGGCGAGCTATATCAAGCATGACGTGGGGTCTATGGGCACGGTTCTTCATCACGGTAAAGATATCCATGGAAATCGAAGAATAAGTGAGAACCACCTGGCTCATGGACTGCTGAAAACGGCAGCAGGGAGTGGGGCCGCGAAGAGCCGGGACTGAGCTCGGCAGCTTCGCCGGGTTCCAATATCGGGCCGAGCTCAAACGGCCTGGCATGAGTCTGTTAGTATCATATGGCAGCATAGAAGGTGAGTATGCCAATAACTATCAGATTATGCTTACCGCTTGGGTATGCCGAGGTGCTGTTGTCACCATTGTCCATTCATTCAAATGACCGTCGGGATCTTCCGCATCTGCGGAGTATGGAGTCGCCTAATCCTCGTAAGTGCTGAACATTTCCACAATTCCATGATAATACGGCAGTGCACGAAATAATCATCCGTCACAAGAATAAGCCTCAAAAATTATGCCAGGTTAATCCCTTGATCACCTTGGCACAGATGAGCAAGGATGAGCGAGCATGACTCATGTGTCAGCCACGCCACCGCCCATGCGATTAGCGTTTCTTATCGGCCGGATAAGATCAGATCCCCACAGAGCATATCGAGATAAATACTTACTACCATGCCTGAACTATTACCATGTCAACAAACCACAATCTCAAAGAGGCTTCGAACGCACAAGCAGAAGGAATCATCTGCCGAGAGTCTTCCCCTCTCTCCAAGGTTCTCAAAAGATCCAGCCAATGCTCGCTGACACTGTCACTACCTCCATCCAAACCACTCACCTTTCCACCATGGGAGCCGATACTCTATACTCCCCACCAGTAGGGATGCACGCCATTCCCCACCACCTCTTAGATCTCCGTGACGACTTCCAGATCGACCACGACATCATCCATGCGAAGCCCGTAGGCGATGAGAAGAACATCTGGTTCTTCTGGACGAGCGGTTACCAGAACATGCATGCATACACCCAGCGCAACGTGCGGGCCTGGCACCGTCGCTTTTCCAAGCTCGGCTGGACGATTCGCGTTCTCGACTGCGAGAACGTGCGCGACTACCTCGACATCACCGACCCGACCCTCTTCCCGCGCGCCTTCGCCGATGGCACCATCAGCGGCGCCTACGCACCGCAGCACACGTCGGACCTCGTTCGCTTCCCGCTCCTCCTGCGGTACGGCGGGGTCTACGCGGACGTGGGGTTTATTCAGATCGGCGATCTGGACCGGCTCTGGACCGAGACGATCGCGAACCCCGCTTCGCCGTTCGAGGTCCTCTCCTATTTCACGGGCCTTCCCGACCAACGCGGCCTGACGAACTACTTCCTCGCGGCGAGGAAAGATAACCCGCTCTTCCTGCGGTGTCATAAGCTGCTGCTGAAGTTGTGGGAGGGGAAAACGTCCACGGACGGCATGCATGCGAGTCCCTTGTTGAGGGGGGTGCCGTTGATGGGGGGTTCGTTCAAAATCGAGGAGAAGGGGGAGGACGGGGCCAGCAGGATTATCAACGAGGAGGAGTCTAGTCGGTTATTGACGGATTACATCATCCAGGGCCAGGTGGTATCGATGGTTATGGGGCTTGTGGACGAGGAGGACGGCGGCTGGAATGGGCCGGAATATATCCGCGATCACCTCTACGGGATCGACTTCATGGAGGGGTCCCAGCTGATCAACGTCTTCACCGAGTGGGACGGGCGCAAGGCGTTCGAGTTGATGTCGCTCCCGCTGCCGACACCAGGCGAGGCCGAGACGGCGGAGCAGAAGCAGGCGCGCGAGATCGTGGAGGGCTGTCTCACGCGGAGTTTCGGGTTCAAGCTCGCCCACGGATTGATCTTGCAGGTGTACAAGGAGACGCTAGGGTCGCTGTGGAGGAAGCACGACGGCTCCGATATCGTCCCCGGGACGTACGCGCATCTGCTGCGCCATGCGATCGTGTACTGGAACCAGGATGCGCTTCCCCCGACGCTCGAGTTCACGAATCTGGAGCCGATCAAGAGGGGTCCGTTGTTGAGGGATGCGTAGTCGGGGTGGTTGTTCGAAGTTAACTATGTTTGTTTCCGATAGAGCCATAGACATAACTAGAATGGTCACCTGGTCGCGATGCGCATGATTATCTCGATTTGATAGCTTGTGTAAGGTCACACATGATAAGCGTCAATTATGCTATCACTGTCCACGTCGAACCTCCAGGAGGAGGTATAATAAGGATCTTCCAGCTCATATGCGAAGCATTCACAATACGAGTTAGTACTGCCATATTAGCTGGGACAATCAAACTGGTCAGGCAAGTAACTCCTCCATCAGGACTAGCCATAGTAGATCTAGAACAATCGAGAAATGATAACTCGCTACGGAAAGAGTAATTAGCTGTGAAGCTTGGTGAGATTCTGGGGTAGCCTCTCCCCATAGGCAAAACACCAAAGAACAAAGAAAAGGATGTCCGAGTAATGCCTTCAACTTTTGGAGACGAGATGATCTAGTGATTAGTGAGTGATAGACGATGATCTCAATGAACCCACAGGCGGGGCCGAGGTTCGGGCTCACAGACTGATGTAGTGTGGAAGCAGAATATTTTCAGTCTATCATCCAGGACGGAAGCTATCTACAAAACGCGCGACCATGGCACATTCAGCCTCGTGGTCCGTCAGTGATAAAAATATCTATAAAGTGGCCCATCGCTTAGAATTTTATCCTCAATGCCCAGCCGCCCGCCACCCCTCTAGCAACCACAAACGCCGCACACGCCGCCAGATACAGCACGCCCCCGAAGATGATTAATCCTCCAAAGTTACCGCCGTTGCTCTCCTGGATCGCTCCGGCAATCGGGATGGCGGTGAGGGTCCCAAAGCTGACGAGGGTGAACGTCGTTCCATTCCTCTTGCCAATATCCTCGGTCCGGCAGACCTGCGCGATACACACCGGGGTCAGGCTGATGGCGGCCCCGCTCCAGAACCCAAACAAGACCGAATACGCGATGATCGCGGCCTCGCTGGTGCCGGCTTTGTACCAGAGAGATAAGGTGATGATGCCGCAGACAAGCGCCGTCAGGGCCATGACGTTGAACCGGCCGATGCGGTCGGCCAGTAACCCGGGCAATGCACGGCCGGGGATGGCGCCCACGTTGAGAAAGACGCAGAGCTTGTAGGCCATGGATTCGCCGAGGTTCGCGGAGAGGCCGTAGGAGCACAGATAGGTGTACGGAACGAACACCGCAAACTCTACCAGCCAGACGGCCAGGGTCGTAAGCGCGTAGTTGGGTTCGCGGAGGGCGTGGATGTCGATGGCCATGTGGCGACTCGGGTCGGGCTTCAGGCGGGTCTTGAGGAGCAGGCATGCCAGCCCGCACAGTACGAAGCAGATGATCCCGATGATGCGTAGCGCCCACGCGAAACCAAGATGTGGCGCGACATAGAGGATGATCAGCGGGAAGAAAACACCGCCCAGGCCGCCGGCTGTACATGCGATGCCCGTGGCGAGACCCCGACGGACATTGAACCAATGGCCGATGGCAGAGATCGCAGGCGTGAAGAGCAAGCAGGACGATAGTCCGCCGAGAACGCTGAATGAGAGCATAATTTGGTAGTACTCTGGTAATCGATTAGTCTGCGATATATTTCAGGCGTTGGTTTTGTTCATCTTGCTGACCTGTGCTAGCACTGAAGCAGAAGACTGCTACGATGAGTCCAATGGACCCTGGAATAATCACTGGCAATGGTCCACGACTATCGAAGATGGGGCCTGTGATGGAGATAATTAGTTTTGTTGCAGCTACAGGGGCATGCAAAGCGAAACGTACCCACTTGGGCGCCCGCAAAGTAAAGGAAGAAGCTGAATACCCCAAAAATCCAGCCGACGCTAGATTCAGAGTAATTGGACAGCTGGTGGGTGGATGTCCAAGCGTGCAGGACGGAGATGGTGTTTAACAAGCCCATCGAAGGCACCATCGCACACCACGACCCTAGTACCACGAGCCAGGCACGAAGGCCCCCATCCGGGTAAGTCTCATCAGAAGCGTCGTAGGGTCCTTGCGGACATACAGATTGAGATGGGCCCTTTTCCAGAGCAACCTCTCCATCCTGATCTGAGCTGTGAGACATTTCGGCCTGGAGGTCAAGCATGCTCCACAGCACGGTGCTTTGTGTCTACTCAAGCCAGAAAGTGTATGCACTCCTCAAGCTTTCATCGACCCGAAAGTCAAAGAAAACCCCATCCTCCATGACTACCATTGATCCCTTGGCAATGGAAAAAATTTGGCTTATCGCAAAGTGGAGCAGATGAGATAGTGTAGTTACCGGGCTGCAGGTGATTGGCTACACACCCTGGCTCCGGTCGGCACGTTTCCGCCCATGAACCTGAATCCATCGCGCCACACCCGCTTGGTTTGTTGGAATTAGGAACCTTGAACAATGGACTCCATCTTAAACAGGTTCATACGAAACTTCCTGCCTGATCTACCGGTAACATGGCTAGAGACGGCGGGCCTTCTTCTTCCCAAGAATATGGGGAACTGTCCCCGATATCAAGTTCCGCCGTTTGGACATGGGTGTTGCGGTAATTGATACACGACGGTCACTTGTGAGTTGAATTTCACATCACATACTGAAGGGGATCGACCTTGAAAGATTATTGTGAGCTGTATACTTCCAACGTTCAGAAGGCTCACAATCGGTCAATATATGGGAGAGCGATGATGCCAGCTAAGACTTCTAAGTTCATATTGTTCGATGGCTGGTTCGGTGCAGGCTTAACACATCAACTCTACCATCTGGTCGGAAATTCAGTCCCTGTATTCTGGCCAAAAGAGAACCGAGATGTGCCAGATCCTATCTTGACACTTTTTGAGCACCCAGAGAGTTTGTACTGTAACTCCCTCGGCGCTAAGAAGTGAGATCAGCGCAGCCTCGGAATGTTGTCAACACCACTGGCATACTGACCCATTAGGTATCAACCTGGCAATTTCCTTTTCATCCTTGCCTAAGCTTACCGAACTTGGTATATTCTGCAGCCTGGTGATGAGTGTCGTGATCGATATTATAAGATGAGGATATTGTTTCGCCTCAATTCCCACGCTGAGGAACATGCCGATGATCCGTCATTCCATCAGCGTAAATAAAGTTCGGTGAAGATTACCTTATGCAGCATCGATCCCTACAGAAGATGTCATCGATCTGTGATTGAATGCTAGAGAATGTACCGATAAGTCTTCATGCAGAGCACCCATGTACCCTAGCATTCTTGGTTAATCCTGAACCCCTGCATCTTGAATTTGACTCGGGTCTGAAGTGTTTTCGGTGAATCTTCTGGTTCAGAAAGCCATAGAATCGCAGTCCATGGGCGAAGTGTAGATTGGGACACCATTGGATTGCTCAGTTTGGTAGACCTAGGATCCAAGATACACCGTATCATACAAGCACATCGACGGAGGAGCACGTTCAATCAGGAGCCTCACTGTAAAGAGTCAGACGCAGTATTCCCTCCAAAATGAGCTGGGGCTCAACTCTAAACCGGCCGCCCCACGCGATCACGGGGTTTTCTGGAATGTATATCTTTCGTCATCGAAAGCTTATCCTTATCCTTAGGATATGAGTGAGAGACTGCTTCTTTGCTGCAATGGGGCGAGAAAGCAGTCCTCAATCGGCGTAACCCATTCTCCACGGCGTACATTGAGGCTTGCTGTGCCGAGAGACAAATTAGTTCTGGACAAAAGAGCGTCCATGAATGTATTCCAGATCATAGATTTACTACCAGAAGCACTTGAGCAATGATGCGTGAGAGTTTCTGCGAACGGCAAGGGGTGCTAGAAAGAATTAATTTACATCTGAGGAAATAATTGTGCAGCTGACAATGGAAAATGATCCCGAGGTGTGGAGATCTCCTACCGAGTAGGGAGAGAAACTCACCTTCTGAGAGCAGGAAGTTGCTGACTGAATGAGGTAATCAGATTCCCTTATGTGAAGGTGATCGACACTGACCTCTACCCCTTCTTGCTTAACCGACATGTCAAAAATGTCAACTTCTTCATTCAACTCTAACGTGAAACTTTGGAGTCCTGCATTGAGCCATGTCTTCATCAAACCTTGCAAGGTCTATAAAGGTGCGGCTTGCGCCGGGCGAACCCAAGCTTTGATGGTGGCACTTTGATACAGCGCACGTTAACTTTCATTGTCTATTGCTCTATATTGTCATCTCCCGAGAGAAACCCACCCTTAGTCTCCATATCGAAGCCAGATTGAATATGATGTGGGGTGCTCAGGCCAGCAATGAATCCACTTCCAGTCAGCCATGTCGTTCCCTCTTCTTTTCTATCACCTCCGCTGATTAATTAGACTCTCTTGTCTGCCACAGCTGCGTTCCGTCGCCGGCACCTGATGAGGTTCTCGTCAAACTTGAGTATTCGGGTCTATGCCATTCCGACATTCATGCTTGGAAAGGTGACTCTCTCAGCTGTATTCGTCGTAATTTTCTCTGACTCAAAATATCAGGAACGCCCTCCACAATCAAAAGAGAAAAGCGCGTTGGTACGTTCTCTAACCAGCTCACCTGTATCCCGCTAACACAAGGCAAGAGGGACATGAGGGCACAGGTATTGTGACGGCTGTTGGAAGTGAGGTAGAAGACATCTCAGTTGGAGATCATGTGGGCGTGCAGGTATATCCCATCCCCGGATTTTCGCAGCTGCGAAAGGCTGACACAGCAATAGTGGGTCAACAAGACTTGTGGCGTCTGTGAGGCCGACAAGCGAGCCGACTTCTTGGCTTGTCCTAAAGCTCAAATGACGGGCTTCTCTGTTGATGGTACTTTTGGCACTTGCTGCGTCATTCAAGCACGTCATGCTGTCCGCATCCCGAAGGAGTATCCCCTCGACACAGTGGCACCTATAATCTGTGCCGGAACCACATGCTTCAGAGCTGTGGAAGAGACTGGGGTGAAGGAAGGTGACATTTTGGGTAAGTCGACAACGTATCAGAAGTGGGTATAGTTAGTACTGACCGGTACAAGCTGTTGTTGGACCCGCGGGTGGCATCGGATCACTGGCATGCCAGTACGCTAAAGCCCATGGTTGTCGAGTGCTTGCAATTTCCACTGGAGGCGACGGTCGGATTATGTACAAGGACAAACTCCGGGTTGATTTCTATGTGGACTGCAATACATCCCCAGACATTGTTACGGAAGTCCGAAAGCTGACCGGAGGTGGTCCTGACGCGGCTATTATGATTGAGGGTACCGAAGCACTTCTAGAGGATGCTGCTAAGTATATACGACCTCGAGGGTCTATTGTTGTCGTGGGGAACCCCCAAGAAAATACAACAGGTTTGGGCATGTCTAACTTGCTGCTGCGAATGGGCCAAATCAAGTCGTCTCCCTATGGCGGTTCGAGAGAGCAGATTGAAAAGGCTATCGAAATATTCGTTAAGAAGAATTTCTATCAGTCTTCTCATGTTATATCACTTGATCAACTAACCCAGATGCTTCAAACCATTTACCAAAGAGACTCCGAGGGTCATTCTAATGGACAGAGCTCACGATACGAGAGCAGCTTGCTGGGACAGGCAACAATCAAGATCCCCTCATTCAGTGAAAGCACTCGAACTGAGAAGACTTTCCCAAAGCCTACATTCTACCAAGACAGCTTCAACATTGGCACTTACATTGGGTATCGCTTGGAGGAGCTCGGAATTCGTGACTTCTTAGCTGTGCCTGGTAAGAACCTTGCTCAAGTGTACTGTACTTGCTCGACTAACTTTCTCAAGGGGACACAAACCTTGTACTCCTGGATAATATCCTCAAGAATCCCAACCTGCGAATGATCGGATGCTGTAACGAGCTCAATGGAGGTTACGCAGCAGACGGTTACGCCAGAACCTCGCCCGCAAAAATTGCCGTTCTTATCGTGCCATATGTGGTAGGGGCTCTTTCGGCCCTAAATGCAGTGGCAGGCGCTTGCTCTCAGAACATAATGATCATCGTCCTCTCTGGGTGCCCAACGACAGGGATGCTAGCTAGTAGGAAGTTCTTGCATCATGCACCAAGCGCAGCGAACAGGGAACAAGCCCTCGATGCCTATCGGGGCGTCACTGCCGCCTCCATCCGTCTCCAATCGGCAGAAACAGCCGTGCAAGACTTGGATGATGCTATAAGCAAGTGTTTCGCATCCTCTCTTCCCATTTTTATTGAAGTTCCTAATGACATTGCAGGAGCTGCATGCTCCTCTCCTTCCCCATTCAAGATACCTGAGACAATGATTCATACTCGGAGAAATGAGGAAGCCGTCAATGCTATCACTGGCACCTGGAATGAGTCGGTGAAGCCCGTCCTCCTCTTTGGGAGCCTTGCACGCCGTCTACTTTCCGCGCATGACATTGAAGCCCTAGCTGATAGACTCGGCTGTGCCGTATTTTGCCAGCCAGATGGCCGCTGCATATCTGAGTCTCACCCGCAGTATTGTGGCCAATTATGGAATGGTCTCACCAATCCGGAAGGAGAGAAAGTCTTCATGGATTCTGATCTTTGGCTTATTGTCGGTGCAAATTGGTGCGACTTTCACAGTATCTTTACCAGCATTGACGAAGAAAAGAGTCGCATGATCAGCATCGGCAAAGATTGGGTCGAACTGCCCAATGGAACATGCATTCAAGGTGTGGACTTCGCCACGGTGGTTAGACAACTTATCCGATCGTCGATGGAATCCAAGCACAAGTCAGTTCCACGGCCAAAGCCGACCCTGGGGGCAAAGCCTCCACAGATGGAAGATCTTGACTCTCCTTTGACATTGGAGCACGCTATTTACGGCATTCAAAACATTCTGCGAAGTGATGACACGATGCTCTGTGACGCAGGAGAGGCTTGGTTTCTTGCTAATCATATACGGCTCCCTCCCGGCACAGACTGCCAAATCCAAATGCCCTACTGCTCGATTGGTTGGGCACTACCGGCTGGACTTGGCGCTCAGCTTGGCCGCTCGCAGGGCCGTTCGATCATTCTGATCGGCGATGGTGGGTTTCAAATGACGGCACAGGAGGTCAGCACCATTGTCCGTCAGCATCTGAATCCGATCATCATTATCTTCAATAATCTTGGCTACAAGATCGAGGTATGTAGCGCAGCTCTCATGTTTACTCGAATTTACTAAACAACACTCCTTAGACGGCCGTCCACGATGGGCCATATAACTACATCGCCAACTGGAACTATCCTCAGCTGGCCGCTTCTCTATCCGCAAGCCCTCACGCGTCCTCTCATAACCCTTATGCTACCAAGAAGCAGGAGTGTATGGAAAGTAATCCGTCCTTATTCACCCTGCAAGTCAAGACGCAGAGAGATCTTAAGATGGCTCTCAAAAGAGCATACGACGAGCATGATAAGCTTGCCTTTCTTGAGCTGTGCATTCAGCCGGATGATTTGAGCCAGGAGGTCCGACAGCTTGGCGAAGCGTTTGCACGGAAGAATGCTGAAGAATCCTCTGGGTCGTCTGAAAGTTCTGCTTCTAAGACGCCCAGCGCAACGACAAGCGGTTCCAACAGTCCGAGAGTTGGTAGTCCTGCCAATACGTCAGTATAAACATCTTCGACCAGTCCGCGCGCTTCAGCAGTACGTGAAGATGAATCTGTCGGAAAGGGAACGGCGACGCCGGGTCTCGGGTTGAAACTATTGCTTCTCGTCTCAAAGTCAAACTAAGTCGCAACCCTAAGATGGTGCCAACGCTGAGATGCGGTGCCATATGCTGTGGTCTATCGGCAATGAATGTCGGATATTCTTTATGGTAAGAGCAGAGTGAGCGGGCTGGGGTGTTAGAGGTAGTGTCGGAGGAATAAATTTTCATCTTGTCTTTCGGAATTCTGCGGATGTGCTCTTTGATGGCCTTATAACTTAACGCAGTGTTATCGTTCAATGGGATTTCACGTCATAAATGTATGGATTCTACTTCGAGTATCATGTCCAGGTCGCAACCACGGTAGCTCTCTCGCTCCATTCTCTTGATGCATGCGATCTAGTATATGCCAATGACTTGAAGTCTGCAAAACTGTTGTTTATAGTTCCACTGGTAAGATGATCAGTTTTCATTTCTATTTAATCAATATTTGTAGAATTCGCAGCTCTTCTGAAATACCCTTTATATAAACTATGGCTCGGAAGTGTTCTGATTTCTATGACATAGCAGACCGGATGGAACTGAAACTGGCAATAAAAGGTCGTAGGATCTAAGTCTTTAGAAGAAGTCTATCACCCAACTACTAGTCAGGGATGCAGATATATTGCTAAAAACTATAAAGAAGCCCAGATGTAGCAGCGCCTGCGGGCATTGCGGGTGGTTGGGTGGACACTGGTGCCGGTACTGGGGGTAGCTGCGAGGTTTTCCGAAGACTCGATATGTTCGAGGCGTATATCGCCGCGCTGGATAGCTTCACAAATTCGATGATACGCGACGTCGATATGTTAAGTGCGCCGGTGAAATTGATCGTTCCGGGCAAGTGCAATGGCGTCTTTGTTATCAACGTATATCGTCATTGGACGTACGTTCTTGAAGCCAATGTCTTCAAGCACGTAAATAATCCAGCAGGTTTCCTTGCCGGCCGCATGAAGCGCCACATATTCGGCTTCACATGTCGACGCTGTAACGCAGGACTGCAGACGTGATGCACAGGTTACTGGGCCTTTAACCCATGTAGGAACGTATCCTGAAGTCGAACGGCGTGTATCCAAGCACCCGGCGTAGTCTGCGTCGACGTGTCCGACTATGACACCAAGTCTACCGCAAGGATTGTCTCCGGCGTGAGCCGTATACTGGATTCAGTATCCTGCAGTTCCTCGCAAGTATCTTTCAAAGAGAGGAGGCTATTCGCGTGCTGCTTAGCCGGGTTGCTTGCGTATCTCGCTAGTCTTCCAATAGCGTACGCAATATCGGGACGTGTCTGCGTCATTAAGTACATTGCACCCCCGACGCCTGCTTGATAGTCTTTGATATCGTCTTTGGAGGCCTGTACTTGATTATTGACAAGTTTAACGCCTTCGTCGACGGGCACTTTGCAGATCTTTTTACTGCCTGGGTCTGCGGCTTCAACAACGCGCTGCAGAAACGCGCTTTGAGATAGACGAACGATTCCTTTGCTGTGTTCAATCTTCAGGCCGAGATACCATGCAGCATCGCTGAAGTCAGTGATAGTTAAGCATCTTGAAAGGTCTTGATATACAGCGTCGACGAGGCTTTCAGTGGGAGCAGCACTTTACATATCTTACTTATAGTTTCTCCAGTCATACTCGGAGAAAGGCATCAACATGGTTCTGAAGTGCCTACTGGTCAGTGAATTGGGACTGTAGGCGGCATGTAGATTGTCAAGTGTCTTGGTTCGGCAAAGCTGGATTCGGACAAATACCACCCAGATGAAGGTGTGGAACCCATGTCAACTCAAGCATATTCACAGAACACCAGGAGAACGAAGGAAGTGTTCGTAGTTCCTTACACGAGTCTCTCATCCTTCTTGCTCGACTTCTTAACAGCCAGCAACACCTAAACTCTCTCTCCATCTCCATCAACGTTCTTGTAAAACCTCACCATCGAAATCTCTCTACGTACCGTGAGAATAGTGTCTTATCTCTTTCTCCGGTATCGGCATTTATTCTGAGGACAAATCTTTCTACGTCGAGGTTTCCTACCCCTTTTGGTTCTTCAAAATGCCGCTGCCATTACCCGGTGAGGATAATCAAGCGCAATTCATGTTTACGGTAGCTAGGCTCACGCCTGGCAGCAGCCAGCCACGCCGCCTAGAGAACGATGAACAGGAGATGTTCAAATGCATGCAGCTGTACAAACTTGGGGTGCCTCTTTATACCCGTGAGGCTATTCTGAATGCGTACGGTCAGCTGAAGGCCAGCAAACGTGGCGATATCATCAAGATCACAGCCATAGACGGCACTAGTGTCGACTTTATCATCAATACTGGCAGAGTCTGGATTGGTGCCGATGGGTATGAGCGTGAGCTGTGCGTATACTTCCCCGAAATTGCTTCAGTCGCAAGAGAGAGACACACACTAACATTTTGGGTGGCCGTGGTATGCTAGTGGGAAACCCCGTCTGTGTTTCATGCCCATCCAGAGACTTGAGAGCTGTGTTGTTCCCGATCAACTGCACACCATCCCCTGCAGCATTCGCGTCGCCCACCGAGTTGCCACGCGCGATCCGATCACCAAGGAGAGATTCGAGTATGGGGTTACCGCCTTCGAGAAGGTCCGGCTGAACCTCTTCACCACGCTCCACTTCTGGCGGAATAGCCCCTACTACCAGCTGCTCCGGTACCTGCTGGACGATTACCCCAAGATGCCGCGGATCACCAAGATCATCGGGTTCGACTGCGGCAGTATGTCCCGCGACTTGCAAGGCCAGCTCTCCAACAACTCCCGTGCCCGCTACCAGCATGCGTTCCTCATCGCGCTGAAGGAGTACCTTGACGCCCGCAACTTCGAGACCACGGGGCAGGAGGTCCGCGTGTACGTGCAGCATGAGATGTACCTTGAGCGGGACATCGAGGTCATCCGGCAGTTCGGGGTACAGGTGCTCCAGGACCCGGAGGGGTTCCTCGTTGTCGATGAGGAGACCGTGATTTTCTCATGTCGACCCGAATGTCCGGTGAGACAGGTTGTGGCCGACCTGGCGATGCCGGCAATGATGATCTGGGACCATGAGAGGGATCCAGCCAAGGTCAACGGGATGTCTGTGCAGCGCATGTAAGTGTGCCCTGGTCTTCTAGGTGCGCGACCCCGGAGAAGGAGTATCATAACTCATAACCAATTCTGTCGCAGTTTTGACCCCTGGTCCACTCGCCTGGACACTATGATGCGGTTCTACCATGTGCAGGAATTTGTCAACGATGAGATCAATTTCGGTAAGATGGATGTGTGTATTCGTCGCCCTATGGCAGATGTGTATCACGACTTGAATGATCCGGACCCCGGCAGCGAGGCGAACATTGCCCAGCCAGTCGCGTAATTCGGAGGAGGAGGTAGTGGTGGTGGTGGCTGGTCTCTAATGTTGGTGTATCTTTGGTGATATGTGCAGCGTTTGTCTTAGTGATGTTCCTGAGGCAAATGCAGGAGGATGGATAAAAGGATGAGCGACTGGTAGGTGTGGACCATTGATATTTTGTTTCTAAAATTGATCGTTTCTAGGTGGAACAGACATGCTTGGAGACGTTGGGCTTGGCTCTGCGAAGTTATCGATGATAATGTGGGAGGTGGGAGCTAATGTCCTGGAATTCGGAGAAAGTCTTGCCGGACTAATTAGTGAACGCAAGAGTCTAGCCCAAGCCCAGATCTCTGTCAGATAGGTTATGGTTGGAACTGGTTATAGCCAACAATCATACTAGAGTTGAGTTCTTGAACTAGGGAATGCACACACACGCCCCCCTCCCCCTAGCGGCACCCAGCCGATCTACAGAGTACGGAGTACTGATACACCATTGAACAGCAGCACGCTCTAGTCTAGGAATGGGTGTCAGCGTACCCGTCCGGTAAGCAAACCGCTTCAATTTAGGGGCTGCGAGTCGCTAGTTCGGAGTGGTCCGATGAAGACCTAAACTTAGAAAACGATTGAGGGCTAAGGTACGGAGTAGGTACTAACTTGGAAGATATGATGCATACCAAGTAAGCAACCAACCAAGTTAGCCTGGAGGTAAGGTGTGGTTCCCGTTCCGGGTAAGCGGGTAAGCTTACCTAGTACTCAGATACCCCAGCCTAGAACTGTTGGAAGATGGTGTAATGCTGTGAGTATTCATCAGCAATTGTCTAATAGCTTTCTCGATTCTATCAAAAGTATACACTCCATAGCACATCGTTCCCCCTGCTCAAAAAATCTTATCGCACATTATCTGGTCGGTTGCGCCGTTCCTGCAGCGGTCGTGGAGATCATCACGTTTTTATTGACCAGGGTTGTTGACGGGGGGGATCCCAAAATAACAGCGAGTGCACACTGCTGCAGGAGTAGCGCAATAGTCCGAAGTAGTAGTGGTTAGGGTGTGATAAAACGCCAGGAGGTGCAGCAGTGCGGGGAGTCCCTTGTAACCTCTGTAATCTCTGTAATCTCTGTAGTGGTGGTGGAAACTCGCCCTTGGCTGCTTGGCGGAAGACGCGTCCTTCCTTTTCCTTCTCTTGTCAACTCCGTCCATCTCTTTCACACACACTCCTCTCCCACACACACTTTCATTGGGATCATCCAACTCGAAACTCCCCACTGGGTCAGTCCACTAAAACATGGTCTATGCTTCTCTAAACACATTGCACATTTGTTCACCTCTCTTCTTCACCTCGAAGTTATCACGTCATGTTGCCTGATGCCAAGTCAGCCTGTCGCGGCTCCGACGCTCCGCCGAACCATCGAGACCCTCCAGCATTACCAAGCAGTGGGACGGACTAAATCTTACTATCAATCGCAAGCCACGATCGACAACGGCTGGATCAGTCAATCCTCAACCTTGCTCACAACCACCAGTTGGTTTTGTCGTCCACGTTCTTGGCTCGTAAAACTAAATCCATTCTGGGATGGGCTGCAACCGTTCCACCTACACAAACCAATAGAATGAAGCATATTTCTCACGATCACCTGCTGCAGCAAGGCATCCTCTCCAGCAAGAGACGGCAAGGGACAGTCTGCCCGGGCGATATTCCAGTTTCATCGCCCTTTTGCCCAGCTTTCTCCCAATGGCTACGGGAAGTCGCATTGGACATGTTGTTCGTGCTATTCTCAATTTTCTCCGATTGCCGTGGATGCTGGCCTGGTTCTTCATTCCTTCCCCTCGCTTCGCGACTCTATATAAGCTGCTCCTTCTCCCTGCCCCCACCTCCCAATTCTCGGGCTCCCCACGTCTTTCTTCTAGCGTCGCTTCGCTCTGTATCAGATTTTTGCCGGTTCTGGTGAGTCAATGTCGGCTGACCCTGTGCTCACTCCAGGGTGCATCTACTGTCATCCAGGTTGATGATTTGCTCACTTGAAACTTTACATAGACAAGCAGCGTGAAACATGCGCTCAATTGGTCTTCTCGGCCTCGTTGCCGTCGCACAAGCCGCCTGTCCGTATATGACTGGCGAGCTCACCCGGCGTGATGATTCCGACGCCTCTGAAGCCACTGAGGAGTTTCTCTCCCAGTACTACCTCAACGACAACAACACCTACCTCACCAGTGACGTAGGTGGTCCTATCGAAGACCAGAACAGCCTCAGCGTCGGTGAGCGTGGTCCTACCTTGCTTGAAGACTTTATCTTTCGCCAAAAGATCCAACGTTTCGACCATGAGCGAGTAAGTTTCCATGTCTACCATGGTAATCTAAGCTGACCATGTAGGTTCCCGAACGTGCTGTTCATGCTCGTGGAACAGGTGCCCATGGTGTGTTTGTTTCCTACGGAGACTACTCCAACCTCACAGCTGCCTCGTTCCTTTCGGCGAAGGGGAAGGAGACTCCTGTGTTTGTACGCTTTTCTACTGTCGCGGGTAGTCGCGGTAGCTCGGACTTGGCTCGTGATGTTCATGGTTTTGCGACTCGTTTCTACACCGACGAGGGCAATTTCGGTCAGTCCGCCAGTAACTTGCTCGAAGCCTATACTAACGCTTCACAGATATTGTGGGAAACAACATCCCTGTGTTCTTCATTCAGGATGCTATTCAATTCCCGGATCTCATTCATGCAGTCAAGCCCCGGGGCGACAATGAAATCCCCCAGGCTGCCACAGCACACGACTCGGCCTGGGATTTCTTCAGCCAGCAGCCCAGCTCATTGCATACACTTTTCTGGGCGATGTCTGGCCACGGTATTCTGCGTTCGTTCCGATTCACTGATGGTTTCGGAGTTCACACATTCCGCCTCGTTACAGACAGCGGTGCAACTAAGCTGGTGAAGTTACACTGGAAAACATTACAAGGTAAGGCTAGTCTGGTCTGGGAGGAAGCCCAGCAGGTATCGGGTAAGAATCCCGATTTTCTGCGCCAGGATCTCTTCGAGGCCATCGAGGCAGGCCGTTACCCCGAGTGGGAGGTACGTTTCTCACCTTTTCCTTCGACGCGACGCACTGCTGACCCACATAGCTCGGCGTACAAATTATGGATGAAGCCGACCAGCTGCGTTTTGGCTTTGATCTTCTCGACCCAACCAAGATTGTTCCAGAGGAGTATGTCCCCATCACAAAGCTGGGCAAAATGACCCTCAACCGCAACCCTCGCAATTACTTCGCGGAGACCGAGCAGGTTATGGTGCGTGCCCCCTATTCCGATGTGTAACCCAGCATACTAAAGGCCCCAGTTCCAACCCGGTCATATCGTCCGTGGTGTCGACTTTACCGAAGATCCTCTTCTCCAGGGGCGTCTCTTCTCCTACCTTGACACCCAGCTGAATCGGCACGGCGGACCCAACTTTGAGCAACTACCCATCAACCAGCCTCGTGTGCCTGTTCATAACAATAACCGGGATGGTGCCGGTACGTCTCCTTCCCTATTCATACCCTCATAGCTAAGTCTGGCAGGCCAAATGTTCATCCCCCTCAACCCCAACGCCTACAGCCCGAACACCCTCAACAGCGGCTCTCCGAAGCAAGCCAACCAGACTGTTGGCAATGGCTTTTTTACAGCCCCCCGGCGTGTTGCCAATGGAAACTATCTTCGCAGCACCTCTCCTACATTCTCTGATGTTTGGTCTCAGCCACGACTCTTCTACAACTCCCTCTCGCCCGTCGAGCAGCAATTTGTGATTGATGCAATCCGCTTCGAGAACGCCAACGTGCAAAGCTCTGTCGTTCGGGAGAATGTTGTCCTCCAACTTAATCGCATCTCCAACGATATCGCCCGTCGTGTGGCCCGCGCCATTGGCGTGAGCCCTCCTGCGCCTGACCCAACTTACTACCACACTAACACCACGGCTGGAGTCGGCAGCTTCGGCACCCCACTGAAAAAGCTGGACGGCCTCAAAGTTGGTTACCTCGCTTCCGTTCAGAGCGCTTCTTCTATAACTGGTGCCAAAACTCTCGCCGACTCTCTTGCCAAGAAGAACGTTGACGTGGTTGTTGTGGCGGAGCGTCTCGCTAGTGGTGTCAGCCAGACCTACTCCGCCTCCGATGCCATTCAATTCGATGCACTGGTTGTCGCGCCCGGGGCGGAGAGTCTGTTCGCAGCAACCTCGTTGACTGCTCCTCAAGGCAACGCCACGACTTTGTATCCGGCGGGCCGTCCGCTGCAGATCCTCGTTGATGGGTTCCGCTTCGGAAAGCCCGTTGCCGCGGTGGGAAGTGGGTCCGGAGCTCTGAAGAGTGCAGGCATTGCGACCTCAAGAGACGGTGTCTACGTTGCAGACGAGGCATCGGACTCGTTCTTGGATAAGTTCACGGAGGGTCTAAGGACATTCAAGTTCTTGGACCGGTTTGCTGTCGATAATTAGGTGATGGGCTGTGGGTGGCCCCCTTCTGGGTATGCTTTGGTAAGAGGAGTGGGTGGGATCAGTCTATTCGCCAATATCGGTCGCTTTTTCCGTTGCTCGACTAGGTAACCGCTGTCAATGGTAAGTTGATGACGGAGGACAAGCTGATATTGAGGCTACCCTTAACGATTATCATGTGATGTAATTATTGTTAGCATTAGCCTTGCAAATATGAGCACAACTTCTATTCCCTAGGATTTCAGCCTGCAAGAAGACGAACTATCTCTTGCAGCGATCATACTCAAAGCGACCAGAGCTTGTCAATCTAGCTCCCAGGCTGGCGTGGTGATTTCTACTAACCTCATGTCCAATTCCCATGGCGTCTCATTTCCAACAGCACTGAAACTTGACCGTGGTTCGCAGAAATGCAGAACCTCAATGCTCCAGCCTGTTGCTTAAGACCTAGGACAAGGCGCGGTTCTGAGTTGATCCCTCCGAAGAATCAACCCATCAACATAGCACGGTATACCACCATTTATGATAACCTCTCTTTAAACCCCGCTTGGCCGCTTTCCAACAACCAACCACCTCCAAGCTCCTTCAACGGGGGCGGTAATACAAAAGCATGACATCAATCTGACCCATCTCACAGATGCTAGACCTGACACGGAAAAAGCAAGGGGGTAAAGAGGGGGCGAGATTCCCCAAACTGTACGGGGTGAGACTAAGGAGGGAGGAGCGGTGGGGTTGGGTTGAGGCGCGGTGGGCTTCTTTCTCACCTTCGGAAGCAGAACCCGAAGATTACTTTCGTTCGGACGAGAAGCAACGGATGTTTTAGTATTTATTCTACCCTTCTTCCAGCTGTGATTTTACGTGTTACTTGCATGAGTTGATACTTGATTTACGTTTTTTACGGCATTGTTTTACTTCCTGATCAAGGGGTTCGTTAACAGATTTTGTGGTTGTTGAGAAGTCGGTCTGGACTATCACGAGAGGCAGTCAAGGTTTCGAGTCGAGAGTACCTGTGATTGATGGTCTGGTTCCCACTTGTTTGCGACTCTTTTACTCTCACATTTAGTCTGGAGGATCCGCCTCGATAGATAAGGTCGTGCGATTAACCCCTCCCTCCCCGCCTCTAAGCCGGGGAGACCGAAGATAAGTCAACGGACTCACAACACCGGATACATAGTTGATAACATCCCTGGGTGATGCTGAGTGGCCCAGCAAGCGGCAGCAGAAGCCGAAAAGCCCGCGGGCACTGGGCAGCTGAACCGATACGTGAATGTTGAGAGGAGGGGGAGATGCAACTGCTGACGATCCCGCCTCGACGGAAGCCAATCGGGGGGTGCACCGGAGGGAATCTCGAGCCGAAAGGTGGCATGGAAGGGGTCATCAATCCCACCTTGCGGTCATCGCAAGGGCGCATGGGGTATAAATATAGGCTGAAGGGGAAGAGGGGGATTTGGCTCTGCTTACTGACTCTCTGTGACTGTGTCCGTGGGATTTAGGGACTGACTTGTGCGTGAATGTGAAAATGAAAGCTCAAGCATTACATCTCGTTTCCCGGCCGCGGCCGCAGCCGGACTCTCTACTGTTCTCTCACAGGCTCTATATTTCCACTTCGACTACTTCTCGTATAGCTAGATCGTCAACGACGAAGGCGGCGACTACTACGGTGGCAGCGAGTGGGACCGGAAATGCAGCGCATCCGCACCATTACCATCATGATATTCCGTTCCCTTCTACTTCGGCCGCGCAACCCTCGTCAGTGGCCGCCGCTCCTCTCGCCGGCCTCCCGACCCGAACCTTCCTTCGTTCGCTGTTTCTCACCAGTGTGATGGCCTCGCCTCTGTTAACGCCTTGTCTGTCGCTCATGAAGCTCCTTGTCGACTCCCCTTCCACGTTGCTGCGTCCCTCCTCCAACGCCGCAATGGAATACCTCCTCCGTCGCACCATCTACGATCACTTCTGCGCGGGGACCAACGAGATCGAAGTTCGCCGGACTGTCCGGGAGATGAAGCGACTGGGCTTCAAGGGAGTAATTCTGGGGTACGCAAGAGAGTCGATCGCACATGTGAGCCAGAGTTCTCATCGGGAACCGACTGCCGCAGTGCTGCAGGGACAGCTACAGCTACAGCAGGCACAGTGGGAACAGGCGGTCAATGAGTGGAAAGAGGGGAACCTACGCACTTTGAAGATGCTCGGTGAAGGGGATTATCTGGCTGTTAAGTATGGTTTTCTCTGTCGCTGGGTGGATGGGCTGTATACAATACACAAAGGGATTCAGTTGCTGATGTATTATGACCTCTAACTAGATTCACTGGCGCTGGTCCGCTGGCGGTCCACTCGCTCACGCGGAACGATTCCCATCCTCCGCCACAGATCGCAGTGGCCATCCATGAGATATGCGCGGCCGTCGCAGCGCAGAAATCCCGGCTATGGATCGACGCGGAGCAACAAGTGTTTCAAGCGGCGATTGATTCTTGGGCGGTGGATCTAATGAGGAGGTTCAATCGTCCTTCCGAGACATCCCAAGAGGGAACCCCGATTGTTGTGTTGAATACCTACCAGGCCTATCTGAATCGCTCAGCGGACATCCTGGCTGGCCATTTGCGTCTAGCGCGAAAAGAGGGCTGGGGGGTAGGTGTGAAGTTGGTCCGAGGGGCGTATATTGCGCATGATCAACGGGATAGGATCTGGGACACCAAAGAGGAGACGGACGCGAACTACAATGGAATCGTGAAGGCGCTGATTGAGAATCGCTACCCCTTCACCTCCAGAGGGGCGGGCTCTGAGCTTGGATCCGAAAGGGCGGAGGATCTTCCGACAGTGCGACTGTTCGTAGCTTCGCATAACGGGGAGAGTGTCGCCAAGGCGTGCACCCTCTACCAACAACGACGAAGGGAGGGCCGGAAGACAATCCCTGTCGAGGTGGGTCAGCTGCAGGGGATGGCGGACGAGATTAGTTTGGGAATGGTGACTGCGGGAGGTCATGCGGAAGCGAAGCCCGGGGTTTTCAAGTGCCTGGCCTGGGGTTCCACGGAGGAGTGTCTACACTTTCTGCTGCGGCGGGCGGTGGAGAATCAGTCCGCGATGCAGCGGACGAGGGATACAGCACAGGCGTTACGCGGGGAGGCATGGAGGAGAATGGTGGCTTTCATGCGAGTATGATGCACCGGGCTTATTATGTCCGCCAGCAAGTGATCGAAATATGACGCGATGTGTAGATGGATCGATCTGATCTTGGATGCGTTTTCTTTGTCTGTTCCTCCATTCTTGGTACATACACCGTTGCACGCTAGGACCGAGGATCATAGAATCGGGCCCCGCTGACTGCGAAGAATTCCGATTGCCTCGAGATAATCGGGGTCATCATCATCAATGACCGCCTCGCATTCGCATCCCTCGAGAAGTTCGAGCACGTAATCTTGGCAGTCCCACTCGAGGGTCTCGTTGTCTACCAGGGCGGCGTCCACGACAGCCTGGATCGTGGGGATGTCCACGTTGCCAATGTCCGCGACCCTGATTGACTGGATGTACATGGGTATGTTCCGGGGGTGGACGTGGGAAGTGACTTTGGTGAAACCTGGGTGTTCCCCGTCGACTTCGAACAGGTGATCCGCGGTGTTGGTGTGCAGATGGAGGGCCCAATGCTGGAAGTTGCCATAGCGAGGATGGAAGATGGCGACCGCGAGGTACGAAGACATGGTGGTGAGGGAGGTGACTTATGTCGATATGGTGAAAATTGAGAAGACCGTGCGAGAGCTTTATACTACTACTCCGTACCCCTTCGTTTGTTGTTATCCAGGCAGGCAATTGATTGTCCAGCCAGGCAACCACCACCAGCCACGGCGGAACACATGACTGCGGTGGCTGCGGAGGTTGCGGATTTTTACCCCGCAAGATCCTGAGTTGGCTCTTTTTTCCCTTTTCCCTCTCCATCCCCTCAACCATACCAAGGTACAACTCAGCATGCTGTCATGGCAGGTAACTCTATTCCCAGCTTACTTGCTTCCACGGCAGTAAGTAAGGTTCGTCCTTTGACCTTCGACTTCTAGGCAAAATGGATCCTCTATCCAATGAGTGGCCTCAATTCCCAGTCCCCGGACAGAGCCGGTGGCTGTTGCTTCCCCACATTCTCTGATGACTGGCTGGAATCCCCGTGATTGGGCTTGTGGTGCCTGTCACTGACGCCATCAATTTCTGCTTCCGCCTCCGCTTCCAAGTGAATTCTCCCCCAGTTCCCCCTAGTATTCCAACATTCATCCATTCACTCCCTGACGCATCGGCCCATCCGGGTCCCTTTCTCCGTCTTCTTCTACTTTAAATTCCCCTCAAATCCCCTCTTCCCCTCTCTGCGCGATGTCTGGTCTCTCTATCTTTAGTCTTATTCCCCTAGGTCGCCTCAATTCTCCTAGTTTCACCTTCGTGCAGCCGATCGACCTTGGCATTCCCACACTTGGACACGAGGGTGGATCGTTCCTCGCAGCCAAATCTCCGATCGCAGGAACTTGTCTGTCTAGCCTTGGTCTTTAAATTCTCATTCCCCGCGTCACTGCGTTTCTCCGTTTCCTCTGCTCTGCTCCTGCAGTACTGTCGGATACGATCTCCGCACTGGTTCACTGCTCTCTCCTGTGACGGCCCGCCGGCGCAGCAAGATGCAGCTCAAGGTATGTACCCCAGAAATACCAGACACACACTGTCTCCAGAGAGGAGAAGCTAATGAGCCCAGTCGCTGGTGAACTTATTGTCTCTGGGATTGGCTCTCCCTGCTGCTGTTGAGGGAGCCCCCCATCGACAGGCTCGCGTCGTCTCCGCCCTCCATCGTTACGGTGGCCGTGATGCTGTCCCCCCAACGAGCAACAATGCTTCCGGTGTTTACCCAACCCGGTTCGCGGGTGTCACCTGGGACGACGACAATTGGCGTCTCACAACTACTACCGTCGACCAGGGTCACTTCCAATCCCGGGGCTCGATTGCCAATGGTTACATAGGCATCAATGTTGCCAATGTTGGGCCCTTCTTTGAGATGGACTCGGAGGAGAACGGTGATGTGATCAGCGGATGGCCTCTCTACTCCCGTCGCCAGTCCTTTGCGACCATTGCCGGCTTCTGGGACCGTCAGCCTTTGACAAATAAGTCTAACTTCCCCTGGTTGTCTCAGTACGGCAGCGATAGTGTTATCAGCGGCGTTCCACACTGGAGTGGCTTGATCCTCGACCTGGGTGACGGCACATACCTCGATGCAGAAGTGGACAATCGGACTATCACTAACTTTCAATCAACCTTCGATTACAAGGCTGGTGTGTTGTCCTGGTCCTATACCTGGACCCCTGCCGGCGACAAAGGATCCTATGCTATCACTTATCGGCTCTTTGCGCACAAGCTGAGTGTCAACCAAGCTGTGGTAGACTTGGAGATTGTACCTTCGACCGGTGGCAACGCAACGGTTGTCAACGTGTTGGATGGATATTCGGCGGTTCGCACCGACTTTGTTGAGTCGGGAGAGGACGACGGGGCCATCTTTTCTGCTGTGCGGCCATGGGGTGTGAGCAATGTCACTGCATACATTTACGCCACTCTAGACGCCTCAGACAATGTCGATCTGTCTTCTCGCACGCTCGTCACCCATAAGCCCTACGTACACACGAATGACTCCTCCATTGCTCAGGCAGTCAACGTTCGTTTCACTGCCAATGAGGCCGTCCGCGTCACCAAGTTCGTTGGCGCAGCCTCCACAGACTATTTCCTGGCGACCCGCGAAACTGCCAAGCTTGCTGCTCAGGCCGGGCTGGCCCTGGGTTACTCCCGCTCGCTGCAATCGCACGTCGCAGAGTGGGCGGAGATTTTGCATGAGAGCGCTGTCGATCGTTTCAATGACCCTATCACTGGCAAGCTACCTGCGGACCGCCACATCATTGACTCGGCCATTATTGCTGTCACCAACACGTATTACCTGCTGCAGAACACCGCGGGTCCTAACACACTTGCAACCACGGGTGGAATGCCTGTCAACATTGACAGTTGCGCTGTCGGTGGCCTGACCTCAGACTCCTATGCTGGCCAGATCTTTTGGGATGCGGATCTGTGGATGCAACCTGGACTGGTGACGTCGCACCCTGAGTCGGCACAACGCTATACCAACTACCGCATTGCCTTGCACTATCAGGCCGAGGCCAATGTCAAGACTGCGTTTGCAGGTTCCAAAAACCAGACTTCCTTCAGCTCTTCTGCCGCTATCTATCCGTGGACGAGCGGTCGATTTGGAAATTGCACTGCTACAGGGCCGTGCTGGGATTACCAGTACCATCTGAACGGCGACATTGGTCTTGCGATGATCAATCAATGGGTGACGAGTGGTGATACGGAATGGTTTCGCAATTATCTTTTCCCGATCTACGATTCGGTAGCCACACTCTACGGAGACCTTGTTCAGCAAAACGGGTCATCATTCACGTTGACTAATATGACCGATCCGGTAAGTCTGAAAGATACATCATACGAATATCGGCTGATTCCTTTAGGACGAGTACGCCAACTCAATCGATGCCGGTGGTTATACCATGCCACTTATTGCTGAGACCCTGAAGTATGCCAACCAGTTTCGCAGGCAATTTGGTCTGGAGGCAAACGAGACCTGGGATGAGATTGCGGAGAATGTTTTGATACTGCGCGAGAATGGTGTAACCTTGGAGTACACTTCGATGAATGGATCAGCCGTTGTAAAGCAGGCTGATATCGTACTCAACACGTTTCCATTGGCCTACGAGTCTGACAATTATACAACCGAGAATTCGCTGACGGACCTCGACTACGTAAGTGGTCTCTTACCATATCGTTGGGGGATATGCTAACTGGTGCAGTATGCGAACAAGCAATCTGCCGATGGCCCAGCCATGACGTATGCTATCTTCTCTATCGCTGCCAGTGATGTTTCTCCCTCTGGCTGCTCCGCCTACACCTACCATCAGTACTCCTATGCGCCCTACTCACGAGGCCCTTGGTATCAGCTCTCAGAGCAGATGATCGATGATGCTAGTATCAACGGTGGCACTCATCCGGCGTTCCCCTTCCTGACTGGACACGGTGGTGCCAACCAGGTCGTGCTGTTCGGTTATCTGGGGCTGCGTCTGTTGCCGGATGATATCCTTCACGTGGATCCTAACCTTCCACCCCAGATCCCGCACATCACCTACCGGACATTCTACTGGCGCGGTTGGCCGATTTCCGCCTGGTCAAACTACACCCACACCACTCTGCAGCGCTCCTCGTCTGTAGCACCTCTGGCTTCAGCTGATGTTCGCTTCAACGGCACTGGTATCACTGTCCAGGTCGGCCTATCCACTAGCGACGCCACGGCCAGCTACACTCTTCCTCTGTTCGGGTCTTTGACAATCCCCAACCGTCAAATTGGGTCCATCAACACCACTCCCGGCAATCAGGTGCAGTGTCATCCGGTCTACTCTCCTGACCCTTATGAGCCTGGTCAATTCCCTATTTCCGCCGTTGATGGTGCCACCTCGACACGCTGGCAACCTTCTTCTGGTAATCTGTCTTCGATCACCGTGACACTTTCCACGGTCGACGCGCAATCTGCGGACAGTGTAACTGGCTTTTACTTTGACTGGTACCAGTCTCCCCCCAAGAACCTAAGCATTATCTTCCACGATGCGCCCATCACGCGGCCTGCACAGTTCTTCGCTGCTTCCAGCAACTCCACCTCGTCTTACCGTCTCATTGCTCAGCTGTCCGATGTGACCCAGTCAAATCCCTACAACAGTGCCGCTATTGAAAAGGCCAACACCGTCTCTATCCCTAGTGGCAACACCACAACTATCACTTTGAGTGAGCCTGTTCGCAGTGCACGATTCGCCACCCTGTTGATAGCAGGTAACCAGGCAAGCGCGAACACGACCAAGGGTGCAACGGTGGCCGAGTGGGTGATTTTGAGCGGCAACTCTACTACCGAGGCGAGCACCGGGAGCAAGCGGTCGCTGACAGCGCGCGACAAGGCCACGTTGGCCCGCTTCTAGGCGTTAGAAGACCCTAGGGGCCGAGAGCTAATGAGTCTTTCTGGTGGTCAGCCTGGCCGACATCGGAGCTAGAAGAGCTACACTACCTACATACCGGTTTGGTCTCTTGCGTAGCTGGTATTCTGTTCGCCGTATTGGTTCTTCTTGCCGCTCATGTCCCTTCTATCGTTATGTGCTCGGTTTTACCTCGGTTTTACGGCCGGATACACGCACGATGTACATACAGACATACATAACCTTATTGCGATTAATGATAATATTCAGGTTGGTGCCTGAACTCTTCGAGGTCCGGGACAGCAGTAGATCGAGTGGTTTTATCAGAATGAACAAGCGAGGCTGTATCTTTAGGAAGATTGGCGGTCTATCTCATGGGGTGGTGTCCAATGTGTTGTGATCCTTTGTAGTCCAGTGTACATCAAGCACACATATTGATGATATATAAATAAGATGGAGTATGACATACAGACATACCTTGGGGGGGGAAGAAAGGGCAAAAAAGTAATCAAGGCCCGAGCCGCGGATCGAACGCGGGACCTCTCGCAGATATGCTTGGGTTTGGAATCCCTAAGCGAGAATCATACCACTAGACCACCCGGGCTTGTTATGGTGCCTGACGTGACATTTACAACTATGTTCTTATAGCATTAGCATGATCTAAAGAGTTTCTTGTTAGCTTGCCATGTTTGATGCCTGAATGTTTGCGGTGCTGGGGGGGGGAATATAAGATAGAAATAATCCGTTCAGAGGTGTGGGAGGTGTGAGTGCTTGTCCTGTAGATAACAAAATGATGGTTAGTTGTACATGATTGAATGATGTGCGGGTTGGTTGATCGTTGGTTGAGTCCGTGTTTTGTTATATATACTGAGGTGGTTTCATCCGGTTGAAGGTACAGTACCGTGCGGACACAAGAACGTACAAAGACGACCACCACGATGGCTACCGCATCAAATGGCATCTGGAACGAGATGATTATTCTTCGAGATTGGGATTGCGCCAGATGGTCTCCTAGAACTACTAGTGCTCTGAACTGGGCTGGTTCACGCAGGGGATCATGGGAGGGGATAGCCACGACTCACGTGACATAATACACAAGAACGTGGATAAGGTTGCAGGGTAATATATGACATGCCCGTAGCATTCCTAGCTATAGATTAAGGCATCAAGGGGCATCTATAAACACTGAGCCAATGTAGTCATCTATCTGAAATTTACTCCTTCAAGGCCCTGAGTAGTCTAAATACACAGGGGACACCCGTCGCACTCATTTGGAGCGGCTGCCTGGTAGCGCGCCAGATGCGCACTGTGCGGAGACGCCGCCCGAGTATGTCGTGTCGTCGGGTTGGGCGCGACTGCAAGAGTCTGAGTCCACGTGGGAGAAGTCCTCGCGATGGAAAGATCCGGACAAGCCGAGGACATAGGCCGATGACCTCGCGCCCTGGTGTCCAATGGTGGGCAGCGAAATGAGGCATGGGCGAGTTTTAATCCACACCCAGTCATAGTAGCAGACCGTCCTAACGTTCAAGAGATCTTCGGGCGCTTAGCATCCGGGAAACCAGATGCCCCGCGCACGCGCTTGCGCTCCATTGCTTCCATCTCCTGCTTCATGATCCGCTCCTGCTCTGTCATCTTCCTGGGCGCCTCTTTCACGGGGCCCTTCTTCCCTGCGAGAGGGTTCTTCTTCACCGCCGTCGCAAACACATTCTTCGGCTTGTTGCCGCCGCCTCCAAATGACAGCGACACCTTCGGCGCCGCCGTCGGAGCAGGCGCGGGCGCAGGGGAGGCAGCGGCAGAGGTCTCCGGAGAAGCCGACGAGGCACCGGAGTCCTTCTCATCGGCCGGGGTGGCCGTTGCCGGCGACTCGGCCTTCGCGTCCCCGTTTGGTTTCGCACCGAACCCGATATTCAGCTTCACTTTCTCGCCCTCCTTCCGCTGCAGGTTTCTAGCCTCCGGATCAATCTCATCCTCCTTCGCCGCGGCTTGACGAGCGCGCTCGATCTGCTCCTGGATCTGCTGCTGCTCCCGCTCCTCGTCGCCCTTGTCCTGCCGCTCCTTCTTCGCCAGCGCCTCGCGTCGGCGCATCGTATCCGGACTCCGATCAATGTACGCGACAAACAGCCCCTTTTCAGATTCCTGCACCCGGCAAAGACCCTCGCGACCGAGATGCGCGACGAACTGCGACAGGCTCTTCCATTTCGTAGCGTTCATGTGAATATGCTGGCCCAAACTTTTAGCACTCCGCCCACGTCTCCTCACCCTCGAAGGAAAACTCACCATCTTATCCGCGATAATCTGTTGGTAGAACTGATTCGCGTTGACCTCCTTCTCTCCGTGCGTCGTTCTCAGAAGATTGAGGAAATTATCGATGAACTGCTTGCTGTAGTCTTCGATGTATTTCTTCGGGTCCTCGCCGATTAGCAGCACCTGGCGGACGTGACTTTCGGACTGGACGTGGCATTTGAAGCCGTTCTCGTCTCTCATCTGGGACAAGTCAGAATCAGTATAGTCTAGCGGGGTGGAGTGGACGGGCAACGGCTTGCTTACCTGTCTCTCACATGCTTGGCAGTACCATCGCAATCTGCCTAGACCTTTCTGTTTGATCTTGTTGCTGATCGCTTTCGTACTTCCAGCTTCTGCTCGCGGCATTGTGGCGATAGTGACGATGGTTCAAGTTGGAAATGAGTGGTTGTCAGAAAGAATGATGAATGTCGGAGTCAGATAAGCCAGGAACGGGTGTGGCGGCGAGGCAGGATTAGATAAGTGCTGCACGTGACTGATATGGCTATCCCGGTTAGGCAGGAGTATAAGCCGGCGGGCTCCAGGCTATTGGCTGTAGTTCAACTAGCAATAATACTCTACAATCTACAATGGGCATAAGACAAGCACTGAGATTGTCTCACCTGCATGCTGTACTATTATATGAGGGGCTCTGACACGCTCTAAAGCCTCATTAGCGTTACTTCTCCCTCCTCACTCTCTACCTTGATATATTGACCTCTCCTGGGTGTAAGTGAAAAGGAGAGCCAATTTGGACGACACCTGGCACTGAAGTCTACTACCGAAGTTGGTACCTAGTAGTGCTACTACCGGCACCAGAAAAATGAGCTGATCAGACAGCTTCAAGCCTGAAATTCGACCAAGCATCACTCGATGCTCTGACAATCGGATCCCATACCCACCTACACCCATGTCACCTACTAAATTAGCATCTCTGACTCTACTAACCTATTAATTACCACAATCCCACTAGCCCCCCCTCCCCCAAATCGATGATGGACCGATATAAAGGCCGTCTCTCCCCTCTCCCTCCCCTTAATAGTCCCCTGTCATATTCAAACTCAACCCTAGAGCTCATCATTCCTTTCTCCCAAACCACCCATCATGCCCCCCAAGCTCCCCAGCTACTCCCGCCCCGGCCGCGGCCAACACTTCCAAGATGAATATGGCTTCTCCGAAGCCTGCATTGCCGGCGACAGGATGGAGATTGCCGGACAGAGTCAGTTCCAGTTTTAACCATGCCACCCACCCCACCTCCATTCAATTGCCATTAGACTTCCCATCATAGACCTCCCCTTATAGAACCTCACCCTACCACCCGAAACCCCCAACCCCCAAACCCCAAACTAACCCCCTCGCAAACGCAAAAGCCGGAATGTCCCCAACCTCCACAACCATCCCCGCAACCCTCGAAGAAGAAGTCGCCCAGGCCTTCGCCAACATCAACGAGGTGATCCTGTACGCGCTGGAGCGGGCGCGGCCGGACCTGCGCGCCCAGGTGGCCACCGGGTGGGAGCTGGTCACCAAGCTGCGCACCTACCACGTGAACCTGCCGAAGACCCGGGAGACGGTCATCGGGCTGATGGTGGACGAGGTCCGCAGGTGGTGCCCCGGGCACCAGCCGACGTGGACGATGCTGGGGATCGAGGCGTTGCCGTTCGAGGGCCAGAATCTGGAGGTCGAGGTGGATGTTTATCTGGGTTCGGGGGTGTAGGTCCCTCCCTGGTTTGTGAGGGGTGGTGGTTGGGGTGGTTGGGGAGTTGGGATGTTGGGAGGGAGATTCGTTGTTTGTAGATAATATGCTTGTATGGGCTGGAGACGATATGCTTGAAGGATCTATTGTTGGGATGATGCGGATTGACCCGTATTACTTACTAGTTGGTGGGTTCTTCCGGTCTATTCAAGTCGAGACATCTTTTGCTCTCATCTGTCGGAGGGCTCAAGGCTAAAATAGGCTTACTATAGCACGTCGAACACTGAGCTAGATTCATTATTAAGCATCATTTTGGGGGCTTTGCAAGCCTTTGTACATATACTTACCCTGAATCGTGTGTAGGATTCGACTACAGCCTCAATCTCCGTAACTCGGGTGGATAGACTTGCTTTTCTTGTCTTTCCCCGCCCTCTAATTTTCTTCAAAAAAGGACGCTAGTCATGTAGTTAAGGTACAGATAACCCTGGATGGAAAAAAAAATTATTCGAGTATTTCAGGTAGAAAAATAAAGAAACAAACTCCCTTTCCGAGACAATTCATAGGCCTATCACATGACATAATCATGGATCGCGGACGGGCCGTTCTCGTTATACTCCACCCGGGTCATGAAGCCCTTGCTGAGACCCTGGTCGAGCACGAAAACGACTTTGGATGCGACCTGGGCCCCTAGGAAGACCGCCTCCTCCATACCGTGGCCACCACTCGCCACGCCGGGGCCGCCAGGGCCAGCTGCCCCGGGTGCGTTGGTGTTGGCCTGCTCTTTCCATTCAGAAAAGTACTCCGGAGGTCGCAGTGTCTTGACCGAGGTTGGGGTTTGGGAGTGCCCCGTGGACCGGTGGTGATGCGACATTGATGTGGGATCCATCAGTGGGGTTCCGGGGGGGATGCTGGAGGACGCCGGGTTGTTGGAGTGTGTGGCGGCGACAAGGAGAGGATTGACACCGTGACCAGCAGGGTGGTTCATCGGACCAGGCTGGCCAGAGGGGGCAGGAGTGTTGGTTCCTCCTGTCGGAAGAGGGGTGGAGAAGTTGGAAGGGATTTCGGAGGTGAACATGGTGGCGGATGGAGAGAGAATGTATTTTTGGGTGATGGCGCCAAGCAGAGATGCCGTGAATCCTATGAACCAAGATTAGTATAAGGGCCACATTGACAGGTGATGAGATACATACCCTTGATCTTGCTGCCATTGCCAACAACGATCAATGAATCCCAAAGCTCACTCCGCTTGGTGGCATCCGGGACAGCGAGAATCGTGTGGTGGATTTGGGTTGCGATGTCCTCCAAGAGCCCGCTGGTTAGGCGCTCGCCGGAATTCTGCTTGGGCGTTGCCGCCAGGAACCGCTCGACGCCGACCTCAATCTCTCGCGTTTGGCGGATGTACCGACCGGGGCCGTTGGCTGCCTCCTTTTCTGACTCTATCCGTACATACTCTTCGAACTGGAATGTCGCCCTTTCTTTTTTCGAGTTGGGCAAACGGACAGGCTTTGCGTTTTGATCTGTACTGCCCTTCTTGGTCGAAGCCTTCTCCGCCTTTTCCTTCTCTCGATTGGCGAGGAACTCGCTGGTGTTGCCGCTAACGATAGCTGCGACGTCCAAAACGCCCTCATCCTCGTCATCCCCATTGCCCTCAGCCCCGGTCTGGGTGCCATCGCCCGGACCGCGGGGAACAGTTTCATTCGCGCTGCCATTCTGAGCGCCCGTGGACGCAGACGCGGCTGGGTTGACGCCCTGTCGCGCAGTGGCAGCGGTTCCGGGTAGTGGCGTACCGGGAGGGAGAAGCTCGGTGATGTTGCTTCGTTTTAGCTGTTCGCACATCTCTCTGGAGAAGCCTTTCGACCCCAGGAGTTCAACCAGGCGGTCCGTCATGTAGTCCCCACCGCAGCCTTCCAATGCGAGACCTCTTCCGTGCTCGCTGACAATAAAATCTGTAACAGCCGTAACATCGACCTTATCCTTCCCGACATCGACCACCGTGGCTGTTGATGTACCGTAGCCGTAGCAGACGGCGAGCGCAGAGTCCATCATGCAGAATGCGGGCGTCTTGAACTTCTCGAAGACGAATTGAGTAATCGTCTCGCGGTCCCGTGCGGACCAGGCCGGTTCTGCAATGAGCATGATAGGGGTGTGGAATGGGGGACTGAGGGTGTTGTGGACGTGGGTTAGGAGGGCAAAGAAGCATGACCAGTCAACGATGCGACCATTCTCGATGGGATAGATCGCCCCTTCATTCGATGTCACGTCTTCTTCGTAGTAGATCTCTGTAGTGGTAGGTTTCTCGGCTGCGGGGTCGGTCGGCTGGTCGTCGGTAGGTTGTGCTTCCTCCTTCTTCGGTTCTGTATTGGCAGAGGCTTCGGGCTGCTCGGTCGTCGCCTCCGTCTTCACCGTGTCTTGTTGGGTGGTGGAATCCGCATCCTTCATCTCCACGTCCTCCTTGGGCGCCTCGGTACCATTGCTGACTGGGACCTCGTGTCGACGCTCGCGGATCTTGTATGGTTCATACTCACCCTTCTTCTCGGCCGGGAACATCCGCGTGGGGAAGCGAAATCGAGCAGGTGTGAATGATTCTGGTAGGCCGAGTTGCGCCAGGGTGACCTGCGAGCCTGGCGCAATTATCTGGACGAATGAGTGTTAGTTCGGGTGGGGATGTGGGCTTCATTCGGATGGCGAATATATGACCAGACGGGCGGAGACGGCTAGAGCTTACCAGAATATGTTCATCTTTGAAAGGGGGCATGATGGGCGACTGAAAGTGACGAGGCCTGGGACTGTCGCAATCACGGCGCTGTCTCTCCGCGGTGTTTGCAGCAGCGAGCTTTGCGCGCTAGGATCGGAGGTTGGGCGGAGAACCTAATTCGGCTTAGCGCCGTGGTCGAGCATGGTCTGTGCTTCGTTTACTAAGTAGACTATCTATACAAAGTGAATTAACTTGGAATTGTACGACGCAATCCTCATACAGCCACTCGCCTCAAAATCAAACCTGGATTGAAGGACATTAGTGGTTATGCCCCGGTAGCACTGGAACAGACCAATCGGGGTTTCTGAATACCGATAACAGATCGCTGCTAGACTCTTTGAAACCAACCCCCGCGCCTGGTCTACGACTCGGATATGCCAAGGGTGTAAAACAATGAAAGGTGCGCACTCCTGGTTTGTCTCCCAGAAGCGATATAGGATTAAATGAGCCAAACTAGCGAAGCCTCGAGGGGCACGAAATACATAACCGACCCTTTTCCCAAGCACGACCCAAACCAACAAACTCCGAATTTCTGTCCTCTGGAATCTCAAACTCCTGAACCTGGATCTCCGATGGCCAGCATGAGATCAAACCACATTACGATGTTTCATGCAAATTCGTTGTCTTTTACTCCGGAGCGGCGTGATATTTCTCGGTCGCGGAGCGGAACAACTCCTGCTGCTGCCGGAGCAGCTCTTCCTCAGACAAGCCGCTTTGTTCCATCTTGCTCTGCTTTTTCTCTCGGGACTAGCGATGGCAAGGCGCGTCAGTTTTTCTTTTCTTTTCTTTTCTTTTCTTTTCTTTTCTTTTCTTTTCTTTTCTTTTTTTTTTTCGCACGATCTCAAGTAAGACAGGAGAGCATGCGTACCTTCAACTGTTCCTTGTGTTCTTCTGCAACGGCTAGGACATCGGCGATGTAGTCCCCGAAGCCGAGATCGCGCAGAGCGCGCTCGACATGTTCGCACGCGATCGTCTTCTTGGCCTCTTTCTCGCTGATGTCGTTGGCCTCGGAGGAGATCAAGGTGATGAATTCGACACAGCATTCCATCAGCAGATCGCGGGCATCTTTGGAGAAAGTCTGACCGGAGGAGGGCGGGAGGATTTCGGTGATGATTTTCTGGACCGTCGCTATAGATTCCGCGGCGGTTAGTCTCTATACGCGTATTCGCTTGCTTCGGGCCAAGAACGCGACCGAGGTTGACAAAGAAACCTTTTGCGCCCACGCCCTCTCAAACAACGCGACACTCAAGCACATACCTTTGGGAAGCGACAGGTCGTCGTTTGCTGTAGATTTGTACGAGTTAGCATGTAATTGTATTGTATTGCGCCAAGAGAATAAGGCTGAGCACGTACAACTAAACTCTCGATCCGACATGGTCGACAAATGATGTGTGAAGAAAGAAGGGCAGAAAGGGGGTGAGTAGGAGGTAGTCCCGCGCTCGGTGAAGCTGTTCTTCACAAGAAGTATGGCTCGCCCACCGCGCGCGGGGACTAGGATGGTCTAAATAGCTGTGAGGGCCAAATTCCCGGCGGCGCGGAGGGACTCGAACACGGAACGGAAGAACTAGGCTAACAGGCTGGGCAGAATTCTACCGCCCTCGTGGGTTTTTATACCGCGCCGCAGTTTCGATTTTTTTCTTTGCTTCTTCATTCGCACAGTGCTCTTCGCACAACAAGGAAACTTGATTTTGGCTTCCTGTTTCAAGCTTTTGCTCCGGCCAACCTTTGTTGGTCAAATGCAACAACCATGGACTAACACAAATGGTATGTTTATTCTTCATTTTTCCTTTCATTCCTTCTTGCAATTTTTACTATGATGAACATCGTTGTCGCCCCTATCAGACCATTCTATGGTGACGTACACTGTCCAAGCCAAACGGACTACTGATATCCTTGCAAAAATCCGCTTTTTGTGATCACTCAGAAACTTTCAGGAAAATTTTACTGACTGACTCGAAGAAATCTAGGCAAATTCGATTTGAGATTCGATACCAAAGATATTGATATAATGAAATCAATTTTTTTTCTGTTTACAATCTCTTTTGTAAAATTTCTCCCACAATAGAATAGCTCAAGGTATGCTTTTGCAATTCTCCGTTTTACAACCCCCTGTTATGTGATGAACAACCTACATTCCATGCTAAGTATGAAGGTGTGCTACACCTAATGCTTCTAAAATGTACCTGCTTTTCATCTTTCGGCTGATCAAAACAACTCTATCTTGATTCGTGTTCTATGAATTTCTTTGATAGTAGTATATGCTAACTGGCCTTTCGAAGTGGACGCAGGATTCGAGTGTAGATCTATTCCTGGAAATCCTCCAGGAGGGCGTCGTTCCAACTGGGAGACGCACGTTAGTTAGAATTTCCACAATGGCAGAAATTTTCGCACAACTCACTTCAAGAATTTTCCACTCAATGAGCTCGGGGCATCCAGTACCAGCTTAGCCATGACATGGCTTGGTTGCTCCACCTTGAGCAGCTTGCCGCTCTCGTAGGCTCCTGTGAACTTGGCGTGCACCTGAGGCTCCAGTGTCGTAGCATGGTCCTCGCGCAATTGGCGCTGCATCTCGGTGTCGACCATCCCGGGGCGGATGGAAATGCTGGTGACATCGGGTTCCTCCTCGCCCAGGGTCAGCGCAAGATGGTTCATGGCGGCCTTGGTCGCACCGTAGAGACCCCAGCCCCTGTAGGCGGACACAGCGGCACCCGACGAGGTGAAGATGATTTTGCCCTTAGATTCTCGCAGTGCTGGGAGCCCGGCCTTGACCTATCGTGGGCTGAGTGTTAGCTCCCTCCCTGGGCCTCGGGGCTCCAATTCAGTGCGAGCAACTCACAAACGCGACCAAGCTCATGAAGTTGACGTCGAATCCTTGCTTCCACTGTTCCGGGTCGGCTCCCGCAACCTTGCCGACTTGTCCGAGGATGCCGTGGTTGAGGACCATGCCGTCCAGACGGCCGAAGGTCTTGAGCGCCAGGTCGACTGACTTCTGAGCGAGGGAGAAGTCGGACAGGTCGCCGTTCAGGACCGCGACTTGCTGGGAGTATTGATCCTTGAGCTTCTGGAGGGGCTCTGCGCTACGGGCGATTACGACGACATTGTGCGATTGCGGCGCAGAGAGGAGGTACTTCGCAATGGCGAGACCGATGCCTATAATGGAGATGAAGTGTCAGTCAGGACGGAGCTACTGTCTCGCGGGGGGCGTCAATTAATTACCTCTCGAGGCACCGGTGACAATGATGGTCTTGCTCGACATCTCTTTGGGGATCTGCTTAGGTTTGTGGGAAACGAGGAGGGCAGGAAGAACGTGCGGGGTGCCAAGCTGATTGGAGTGAAGCTGCAGCAGACACTCCGCGGGAGAAAAAAAAGCTGATCCCCGGGGCGGTGATGTAATTGAGGGGAACGTGGGGTGGTTGTTGTTGTTGTTCTGCCCGCCGCGGCTCGCTTCTGCTTCTTACTCATTGATCCGTACCTGGGTACATGACTACCTTCAAGGTTACAGTAAATTAGAGTGCCTTCAATGGCAATTGTATCCTGCATGACTCAATTGAGAATTGCTGGTCTCAATTCAAGAGGCGGATTTACTAGTACTACCGGTACAGTACCCTATGTATGAGAGTCCTAGAACGGCCAGGATGAGTTGCCACCAGGCCCATTGACATCGGCGGAAGGCTCCCAGGCTAAGAACTATACTATGAGTACCTTATGTATACACAGGCAACAATGACAGTGATAGACTTGACAATGCCTGGTTACTCAATCATCCATAGCTTGTGATAGACAGACGGCCGTAACTTTGTGGCCAAGTGACCGAATACGGGTGCATTGGGTATGCACAACATCTGCAGCGCAAGACATATCTTGTCTACTTGCACTACAATGTGCCATATGCCCTACGTGATTAATCTGCAGCTGAATTCCTGGCGTTATCTACTATATCTACAACGTGATCATGCAATAGCATCGGTCACTTCACCGAGCGCAAACGGCAGAATGATTTACCGCGGAAAACGGGTTCCAAACCTTGTTACTCCACTCCGGAGCGCAAGGCCGAAATCGGGGCCTGGGGGAACTCTATGCTCACAGTGTTGCACCATCTGATCTGATGCTCATTATTGGCTATGGCAATTGACGATAGTCGTACACCGGGCCGGTTCCTGGTGAGCAGCCGGTCTGGTATCTGATAAGGTCATTCCGTTGCGATAGATTATCAAATGGTCTGGTCTAGACTAGCTTTACCCCGCGAGATTTATATGGAGATATTCTCCATAAAGTAATCGATTTCCTGGGACAGAATTCTATAGCCAGTGCTCTTGGCTTGACCGATACACACTGCAACTGTGGACTATCATACAAAACCTTCATCTCTCACCATGGCAACAGTCATTCTTGGAGGAGGAATCATTGGAACCTCCATCGCCTATTACCTCTCCGAAGGCCAATCTGCAGAGAACATCCATGTGGTGGACTCCTCCTCCGAGCTCTTTTGTTCTTCGTCCGGCTATGCTGCTGGATTTATGGCCAGGGACTGGTTTGCCCCTTCTCTCGCACCATTGGGAGACCTTTCATTCAAGCTACATGAGTCCCTAGCTGCCGAGAAGGGCGGCGCGGAGAAATGGGGGTACATGAAAGGCAGTGCACTGAGCCTGGGAGTTGCAGCGAAGAAGGGAGGCAAACGTGGGGATGATTGGCTTCGCACGGGTACCAGCCGGGCAGAAACCGCAGCTGGATCGGAGCCAATCACTGCAGAGCCACCGTCGTGGTTGACAAAGCAGCATGGGGCCGAGACGCTGAAGATTAGTGAGGATGATGATACTGCTCAAGTGTAAGTGACCCCTTTACACTTCCACCGAAACTATGACCTAACGTCATTAGTGATCCCCTGAGACTGTGCAAATTTCTCCTAAGGGCTTGCGTTGAACGAGGAGTCAAGGTTCACAATCCTGCAAAAGCCGTGTCTATTCTTCAAGGGAAAGATGGATCCATCACGGCTGTCAAGACTGTGAATCTTGAAACGAAAGCTGAATCTACAATCGCTTGCTCGAACCTCATCCTCTGCGCCGGTCCGTGGACACAGCGAGTCTTGCAGGAGTTGTTCCCCGCGTCTCAAGTTTCGCTCCCCATCTATCCCTTGGCTGGCTACTCGCTGGTTCTGCGGTCCCCACGGTACACCGTGGAGCACGAGCAAACGACATACAAGGGCCGGAGCCAGGCCCTGTTCACAACATATCCCCCGAACTGCGGCTTCTGCCCGGAGTTGTTCTCGCGACAGGGAGCAGAGGTCTATATCGCAGGCTTGAATACGAGGGATATTCCCCTTCCGGAAAGAGCAGACGACTACCCCAAGTCGATGGAGCAGAAGGAGATGGACAGGCTCAAAGCCGTGTCTGTCCGTCTTCTTGGAAAACTTGCGAAGGGCAGCTCTGAGGCTACCGACGAGATCACGAATACTGATGACTTGGAAGTCATCCGCGAAGGGCTGTGTTTCCGGCCCGCTTCAGAGCGCGGAACTCCTTTCGTTGGAAAGATCAATGACAGTCTGTTAGGAAAGAGCATTAAAACCGCCGGAGGAGTGTACGTTGCGGCGGGCCATGGCCCCTGGGGCATTTCGCTTAGTCTAGGAACCGGCAAAGTTATTGCTGAAATGGTGAAAGGTGTTAAACCTTCGGCGGATGTGAGCGGTTTGGGCGTGAACAAAGTGGAAAGGGAGTCGAAGTTGTAATTTGATATTATACTGATTTAATTCCTGTTGCAACTGTTGGCAAGAAGATTGAAGATACGGTTCTGGAAATTTAAACAATTATTACCCTATAATGAGATCCAGGAACATCACCGCGAGGCTTTACACATATCATCAACCTATCTTTAACCCCTACGTTACAATCTAGTTTAAACCTTAAATCTATGAAATGCTATATGAAAGTGTTCGCAACCATTTCGCAGCCAGCTTGCAATCTTCACCTCTGAGGTCCTTTTCCCACTAGGTAGATTAAAGAGAAACATATATCCCCAAGATTTACCACTATTATTAGCAGGTGTATATAGTTTATCGAAGCCGTTCCTGTAGTTAGTCTCGATAGTTGATGCCAGCGATTGTAGCCTGAGGCACCAGAGCCTTCTCCGGGCTTAGTCATTCTCACCGCCACGAGCTCGAGCTGTCCAGAAACTTCAATGAGAAGCTGGGGAAACCGTTCAGGAACAAACAACTCTGCCTCCGTGCCCTCGCGCGTTCATCTTTCTCACTTACTATTACACTCCCTTGCTTGATTTCTGAGCATCTACTCGCGTTTCTCTCCAGTCATTCTACCTAATCTCAGGATCATCGCCTCGGCGCATCACATAACACCATGGCTAACTACCTCGCCTCCATTTTCGGTACAGAACAAGACAAGGTCAACTGCTCCTTCTACTACAAGATCGGTGCCTGTCGACACGGCGACCGCTGCTCGCGCAAGCATGTCAAGCCCTCGTACTCGCAGACCATCTTGATGCCAAACATGTACCAAAACCCCGCCTACGACCCGAAGAACAAGATGAACCCGAGTCAGCTGCAGAACCACTTTGATGCATTCTACGAAGATGTGTGGTGTGAGATGTGCAAGTACGGCGAGTTGGAGGAGTTGGTTGTTTGCGACAACAACAACGACCGTATGTTTGGCCCCCTTCCCAAGCCTCCCTCCGCACACCCCATAAACCCTTGAACTGCCTCAAATGACTAACGCATGGATTCTCTCAACAGACCTGATTGGCAACGTCTACGCTCGCTTTAAGTACGAGGAAGACGCACAGGCTGCCTGCGATGCGCTAAACTCCCGATGGTACGCAGCGCGACCGATATACTGCGAATTATCACCGGTGACGGATTTTCGGGAAGCGTGCTGTCGGTTGAATAGCGGGGAAGGCTGCGTCCGTGGCGGCTTCTGCAATTTCATTCATCGCAAGGATCCCAGCAATGAGCTGGATCGGGAGTTGCGGTTGAGTACCAAGAAGTGGCTGAAGGAACGGGGACGCGATGCTCGGAGTGTCAGTCGCAGTCCCAGCCCGGAGCCCACCCGGCGGAGATACTAGGTTGTTGTTGTACTTGTTCGTTGGGAAAAGGGTCCATGAGCTTTGGGATTCGTCGCTTCTTCTCTTCTTTTCTTTTTTTCCATTTCTTAATCATCATCTGTATAACGATTTGTGGCGTTTATCGGGGAAGTCTGAACCTCATCATGACATTGTCACTTGTATTTTCGATTCCCATTCTTTTTTGCTTTGGATTTGGTTGTCTTCTTCATGGTACCATGATGTCTAAGCTTTATCGCGATGCTAGTGCATTAATCTGGAATGAGATAATCATATCATAGACCAAAACATGTCCCAAGTGTCCGTATTCACTACAACAAAGAAACCCCCCGGGGCTCTTGGCGGGTAGCCTTTCTTCCCCCAAAATCAATACTACCAAACGCGGGGAGCGCGTGCCGCATCGCGTCCTCCGCAATTCTTTGTTCCCTCATTTCCCTTTTGTTAGTCCTAAGTAAAGACATAAAATCGCTCCACTTCCATTCCTTTGCCATCTCTACATGAACCGAGGCCCTCTCCAAAGCTGTTACAACCTTCTCTTACAACGATGGTCCGAGAAACCGGCCCCTACAATTACAATGACACCAACCGCGCTTTTCTCCAGGCCTTCATGGGCCGCTCGACCATGACCTTCGAGGAGGCCAAACCCGTATTAGCTGCGATCTTCTCAGCGCATGGTACTGACCCTCGTCCCTATCCTGTAGCATAGCCAGTCAGATTATACTGTCTTCTGAGTCGATGAAGCGTCGCTGACTGTTCCCACCTCGACAGAGAAACAACCCGTCTCCCCCGAAGAAATCACCGAGGACGAACTACAATCCTACATCGTGACAGCCAACAACGCCATCTCGCCTTTCGACCTCGAGATCCGCAGTACCCTGCCGCAGATAGAAGTTGACCCGAGCCAGACGACGGCCGTTCCCCCTCCGGAGCGGGTGTATGCGCTGGTGAACACGACGAGCGACGCGCTGACGCAGCTGGCGACGACGTACTCGGCGGACGAGATCGCCTACGTCAAGCGGCTGCTGGATGCGATGTTCGAGACGCATAATACGCGACGCTGCGAGGCGATGGCGGTGAGCGGGATGCAGGCGTTGCAGCTGGCAAAAGTATCCGGGGACGGCGGCAGCCAGAGGAGGGAGTCCGGGTTGCAGTCGCAGCCGACGCTGACGCAGGGTGCAACGCAGCAGCCGGACTCGCAGGTGGTGGGTGGGGTGGTGCAGTCGTTGACGATGTCGCAGGCGGAGGCGTTGCTGAAGCAGTTGGTCGAGGAAGGGTGGTTCGGGAAGAGCCCTAAGGGGTTCTACAGCCTTAGTCCCCGGGGCTTGATAGAGCTGCGGGGGTGGTTGGTTGCGACGTATAACGACGAGGCGGAGGGGATCCGGAAGATCAAGTTCTGTGCTGCGTGCAAGGATCTGATTACTGCGGTGAGTTTCTGATCTGCGTCTTTGATGATGTGTGCCGTACGACGAGGCATGGAATGAAGGCTGACTTGGCGCTGGGGATAGGGTCAACGGTGTGGCGATCGAGATTGCCTGGGAAGATTGCATGATCACTGCATGCGCCACTTCTTCCGCTCTCAGCAGGCTGAGGTCTGTCCGGTGTGTAAGGATACCTGGCCGGGTGACAAGTTCGTCGGCGAGAGAGCAGTCACACAGGCTGATCAGGAGCTGCACGCCCGGAGAAGAAGGAGCTCGAATACCCAGCGGCCGAGCGATGCAGCCGAGCCGAGCACTCAGCTTGAACTTGCACCAGTGGAGGAAGATGAAGGCAGTGACTGAAGAACGCGGATATTTTGAAATCATGACTGATATCCTGACACCCCGCACTTGCGAAGATATACCGCCGGTCAACTACTGCACTTCGCTTGTTTGGCATCCGGGCCTTTCTCTTCGGAGCTTACCCCGAAGACCCCCACTATATCCCGAGCGAGCCATACAAATGGTTGCGTGCGTGGGAGAGCTGCTCGATCAAACTGTCGCCTCATGGGGCTGAGCTGTTTATTTCTGACTTTGTCACGAAACCAGAGAAGCAATGCCACCGACAATGCAGCAAGCAATGCATCCAGCATCCAGCTTCTGTGATCCAAGTCCGAGTTTGACTTCGGAAGCTGTATACAGAACATGGATATCACTTCGCTTTTAATGAATAGTATTATTACAAGATACCATGTGGCGCGTTTCTGTTACCTGACTACGCTTCGGAAAATTGTGGACTGAATTCAGTTAGTCAACATAGAGCTTCCAGCATTTCTCGCAACGAGGTTCAAAGTGGCAGCTTCCGGAAGGAGCAACTGTAGCCGGTCGTCCGGTCAATATCCCCTGGCCTTCCTTCAAGCATCATAAGCATTACAACCATCATCACTATTATTACTAGTATCAGATCATCTTTTTTATCTCGTCTTTGCTCTGCTCTACGAAGCAGCGATGTTGAGAGATTCCATTTTTCGAACCAAAGTATACAAACCCTCGAGGCTCGACAACATACTTTCCGCCTGGCCGAAGATCCCAGTGTCTGCAGCAAGGAAACTGGTCATTAGGGGCGTGTTGATTAGTAGTGGGCTTCTGGCATATTGGTATCTGAAAGGACATCAACGGGATGAGGACACGCATCAGAGGCCTATGGCGAGCAAGATCGTCCAAGACGCGAGATTCCGACTGGCGACAGAGTGCCACTACTTATCTACCAGGGAAGCTGACGAGCGACTCCGTGCTCACGAAGAACGTTTCGTATGTTCTCACCTCCGATCGTGCTATGCTGACTGTTCGACTCTATCGAGTGCGCCATGGAAGTCATATCAATGGGTTTCTCAGAGGCTATCATGCGGCCGCATCTTAGACTTATGGGCCATCTACAACGACCATATGTGAGTAGTCCTCCGAGAGACCGCTCTGACTCAGTTTGGCTAACCTAGTGAACAGTGACGTTCCCCTGTGCCGTCATCTTTCGAAAAAATTGTTTGCTACTGTAGCGCTTGAGCTGGATGAGGTGTACTCAGCGGAACCATCACCAGACGCTGAATCACTAAGGCAAGCCATACGGCGTGGATTTGGGGCTGCGAACAATCGTCGGATGACCACCTTATTGCGTCCTCGGCCAGGATCACCTCAGCATACGACTACAGACTCACATATCACACCAGCACCTGCGCCTCTCCCGGCTGCGCATAAAGCCCAGGAGGAAACCAGTCAGCGCAAGGCTCCAGAGTTGCATACCGCAGCACCTCATCTATTCCCAGGGGCTGCGCATGACTCCAAGGGGAAGCTCACCCAGCGATGTGCTTTGCTGTTAGTCTACGACCATCAAGATCGGGTTTTGCATGTGGCATCGACCGGTAATTGTCGCGCAGTATTGGGTCGTCGCAGTAGGCGAGAAAGAGAATCATGGACGGCCACGGTGATCCCTGTAGATCAACAAATGCACAATAAGCTTGTGCATCCAGGAGGGCCATATGTGCTTAGAAACAGCCCGCTTCTGGGGACTCTTGGACTCTTATGGGGTCAGGAAGGTTTGCCCGGGGCTCACAACTCGGATGATAATACCCTGACGATTCCGAGACCAACTATCTTACAAGTCACCCCTGAGCCACTCGTGACTAGTGTTGAGGTCGAGCCTGGGAGAGGATGTTTTGTTGCGATGGCCTCGAGTAGACTGTGGGAGTGCCTAAGTGCGGTGGAAGTTGTGGCACTGGTAGGACGATGGATGGACGAGCCGAAGAACACAGGCACTGAGGAGGGCTTCAAAGGATGGACCAAGTACATTGACTCGGTGGGCTTGACAACAGTGTCCAGGCATGCTCTGACCGGCCAAGGAAGACTGTCCCAAAGAAGTTTGAACTTCGCGAGTCCAGACGAAAGGTTCGTGTTGGAGGATGGCAATGCTGCATCTCATCTTATCCGGAATGCTCTCGGAGGGAGGCTGCAGAGCCAGCCCTTGAGTGCTTGGCTCAGGTTCTCGCATTTGCTTGGCAGGGGGTATCCTGCTGACATGACAGCCTCAGTTCTTTTCTTTGGTGTCAAACCCCCAGATGTGGGCGAAAGGATCAGAGGTCTGGCAAAACTAGCATATCAATGCAGGGTTTTGATTGCAAGGTTGGCCGTTGACATCACGATTAGGTCTGCTGAACTTGCTCACGCATTGGCTCCAGTTTAGTAGTGTTGATTTAGTATAGACTCGACTATAGGAACCATCTCCTTCATCTTTTATTATCCTTCCGTGACCCGAGTCATGGTTCGTTAGATCAATGGTGCTTTTGCTCTAAGCACTGAATTGCCTCCATACCTTCATGCTGAGGAGGCAGGTTATGCACATGCTTGACGCTACGGCTGGGACTATATCTAGCTGACTCAATCGACATGGCCCATACAGCCCGATTCCCACTGATTCGGTAGAGGAGGGATGACCCTAACAAGCGTGCAGACGCACCAGGATCAGCGTCGAATGATATAGATACCACCCAGGTAAAAGCAAAAAAGAAATCTCCCCGACTGGGAGTCGAACCCAGGTCTCCCGCGCTTGTTCCCGAGTGGGATTGACAAGCGGAAATCATGACCGTTAGACCATCGAGGACTGGAAGATATATTCCCTGTCTTAGATTGATTCTATTCACCTAAAAAATATGTAATTCAGCAAAAAACAGAATCGCTCACACTAACCGAAGACACTTGGGCAAGCATGAACGGACCCAGTTCCTGCCGTACCATGGAGGAGCCAACCCGATGTACCTTGCATACTGGAGCTGCACGGGTGCTGATTTGCCCCCGATGGGTGGTTGCCCCACTGCGTGCCGAGATCCAGCAAGCGAGCCCGCCTATGGTCATTTTCCTTAGCATCTACTCCGTTTTATAGACAAGGAGATATCGAGTCTGACATCGGATTGCTATAGTCTAATCCAGAGAATCTGTACAGTACGCCAGCACCTAATGTTCAAAACATTGCTTGCATATACGCACCACAGTCATAAAGCCTCGTTCAGATGCTCGACCGATGGCAGAGCCAGATATATACAGCCCAGCAACCTGACGGTGGGACCCCGACGATCTCAGATCTAAATCCATTTCCTGCTTTAGATTAGCTTACAGTACATTCCCCTGTCAATCTCTCTCTATACCCTAGGCAGCGCAAGTAGCTCTAGCCCAGTGGGCTAACCTTTCGCTTCATCAAGCCCAGCCCATCCATGCTTCTCTGCTTCTCTGCTTCTCTGCTTCTCTGCTTCTCGCTCGGCCTATTCCTTTTCTTAGCAGTTCACCTTTCGTTCTAACAGTCCCTCTTTTGCTTTCTGCTATTAACGATCAAGTCACTAACTCATTACACTCATTGGAACAGTCAGTCACCCATTACATCTAATCGACCAATCCCTCCTATTCAGCGCCGCCATTCTCTCGAAAAGCAACAGCAGCAATCTGGCTACTCTTTCAAACTTAGAACAAAGCAACCAGATATACAAACAGCATCTAACCGTGAGCCTCTTGCACCATCTATCCCAGAGAGACACCATCTAACGTTGCCGATGACCACAGGACCTGGTATACCAGCACCCACAACGAGGGTACAAATCCCAGCTCTGCAGTACAAACCCCTCAAACCCACCAAACCAACAAAACAATGCACCTCCTCTCTCCTCTGAGCCTCAGCCTCAGCCTCAGCCTTCTTACAACGACCACCACCGTTCTCCTCCACGCAACCGCCTCACCAAGATCGCACAGTCACACCCACACCAACAACCGGCGCGCCCTCTCCCTCCTCCCGACCCTGCACAACCTCAACCGCGACGCCCTCGATCTCACCAAACTCTCGAACAACGATCTCACCGAGCCCGACAACAGCGAAACCCTAAACACGCTGAACGAGGTCCTGGACCAGCTGCCGCTGGCGATCGAGTTCTGGGCCCTGAACCGCACCGCCGGGGTCGTGGGGCTGAGTCTTGATATGGGATTGACGGAGTTAGCGGACTTTGGGCTGGTGAGTTTGGGGAGTCCGGGGGCAAGATCCAATGCTAGGGTGCATGTTAATGTTACGATTACTGGACTGGGGGATGAGGATTAAATGGGAGCTACATGTTTATTCTAAGTCAAGGAACTAGATAATTAATAGGTGGCCGTGTTAGATGGACTTGAGTACTGTGCTGTGCTGTACTGTACATGTAGCCTTGTGTTTGCCTGGGCGATTGTGAATGAATCATATGCGAAGGATGCATGTTTTGCAGTGTTGCTTTACCGGGCTCAAGTATCCAATTCTCCCACCGTCTCTGCCTCTCCTCCTTTCGTCAGGAATAGAACGAGAACACGGTCCCACTATGCCCCTTTCATCTTTCTAAAGTCTTCCGGCACCTTCCAGTCGTGGAGGCTACAGATCCTGATGAATGCGTCCACGGCCTCGTGCCATGAGTAATCGTGCTTCTGGCGAGCATCCAGGCGGGCCGGGCAGTCCTTCGACGATATGAGGAGCCGCACCTGCAACAGGACGCTGTCCATGCGGTACAGCGGATTCCAGCCGGAGCCGGTGAGCAGGTCCATACAGATGGCGCCTCCAGCGGTGACATGGCCCCCGCCGCCGGCCGCGACCGTGAGAAACTGTGGTCGGACGACGCGAATGAACGGGGGCGAGTACGGGAATGAGGGCGGGAACCGGACCTCCAGGAGAATGCACTTGTCCTCGGTGGCGGCCAGGTCCCGTGCCAAAGGTAGGCTGGGATCGAAACTATGCAGGGCCACGAGCCACTGGTACGGATTGTCGACCCGTTCGGGATCGATGTACCAACCAAGCTCAGTCAGCGGGTCGCGCGCCTGGAGCGCTGCGGTGGCTCCCAACTCCCGCATCAATCTTCTGGTGGCCTGCGGGGTGGCGTCGATAGGAGGGGGTAAGAGCTTGACGTTGGCTGATCTCAGCACTTGCAGCATTTTCGCCGTCAGAGGGTCGTCGAGGGCCACGCAGTCACTGTCATCGTCCTTTGTTTCGAGTAGGCGGCGATCCTCATCAAGAGTCGCGTCGCTCTTATAACCGGCGTCCTCTTTGCAGATACCACCACCACCGACTGAGGGTCGCTGTGCTTGAGCGCTGTGAGTTCGTACCCCGGATAGAGGAATTGTGACGGGTACATCCCCCTGGCCGAGAGCCGTTCGCTTCGGATCCTGCACATAGACATCTTGTGGGCTCTTGTGATTGCTAGTGCCTCCCACGGGCTTGATGCATTTCACAAAAAGGTACCGAGGCATGATCCATGATATCTCCTGCACCACGTACGGCGAGGTGCACACGAACCGCTCTGAACAGTTGACAACCTCGTTCAACGAGATTGCCATCGTAATCCCTAGCTTGCTCGACGGCCAGGACTCCTGGTCGGAGCGACTCCCACCAGAGTAGCCTTCAGAGAGTCTGAAGTCCCGAGCTAGATACACCCCATTTCCGTAACTTCTTCCATTCCTACATTCCTCGAAATGTAGTCCCTGCCGAAGGATGCTATGCCAGCTGCTGACGGGGGACCCATGCCAAGCAAAGAGAGTGGGATATTGCTTCTTCCGCGCCTGGACCTCTCGCTTAATAGCTTCCACGAATTCATGCTCCTTGTCTGGGGCTCCTTGAGCGAGTCGAAACTGCATGTAACTCCCCATGCCTGTAACCTTGTGCTCTGGGTCTTTGTCATAGATGATGCAGGATCTATTTGACGAAACGATCCATCGCAAAAAGTACAGTGCTGCAGAGGAGATGCGTTCTTTCCACAAGTCGAGAGCCCGATGGCTAGAACTGCCTTGGATAAACTCAACCATCGGGTCGACTCCCGGGAGCGTATCGAGTAGTCTCACGAGCATCACCTGCTTTTCCTCCAGTGTCAAGTTGGCGAAGTCTTGATTGTATAGTGTAACCATCACGCTTTGAGGTCCGGATTTTCCGATTCCCACATAATTCTTGCCCTCGAAAACAGGTTCTGAGAGAATGTAGGAACCATCATCGTTGCGCATACGAACACAATGATGAATCGGAATGGCTTGTTCGTTTGGATTTCTCACCTTCTTTGTGAGAACAACCCACTCGCCGACCTTTAACTCGAGCCGTCCCTGCGGAACGAGTGTGTTGCCAACCAGTTTAGCCCGAACAGCCTGTTTCGATTCCAGATTCGGATGGGGAACTTTGAGAGGAAGGTCGAGACAGTCAGTCAGCAATTTTGCCTTGGCACGCCGATAGGCGAAGGACACGAGTAGGTCCACGACCTCAGGATGATGCACAATCTGCCACTCCAGCTTCGGTCCCTTGCCGCACTCAAGATATTGGAAGAGACAGAGCCGCTTCGAGCAAACGTACGGATTCAGTGCCTGGAAGCTGTCGGTTGTCTTGCAATAGCATACCAGACAGAATTCGCTGGCACGGGTAAAGCGCCGGAGCGCATATTGCATGGCAATGCGGGGTAACGACAGCCTCTCTGCATCCCGATTGCTTCCAAGGTCATCGTCTTGAACAAAATCCGGTATCCAGGTACCCCAGGCTTCTTCCACAAAATACTTAGGGTCTCGGTCATCTTCAACACCGGGCTTTGTGCCTTGTTGCGTGTCGTAGTACAGCTCCGCCCCTGTCCAGGAGTAACCGTGATCGATTCTAAGCCGTATGATGTCCAGCAGCCGTTCGTTGAAGAGATCAGTAAGCATTTCCGTCACAAACGAGGATCTCAGTTTTCCAAGAGCAGGATCTGCGGTGGAATCTGATTTTGGACCGCTCAAAGCTTTCAGTTCTTGTCCGAGAGGGTGAAGAGCTTGCAGGGCGGACGCCATCGTGGGCTTATACGAGTCGCAAAGACCAACGTACATTTGCGGCCTCTGCAACGGATCCGATCGAGATTCATCGTCCAAGCCGTAGTATCTGTATGGGTATTTGATGAGGAGGACCAGGTAGTCGGACGGGGAGACATTCCAAAGTTGAAGCGCGTCGTTGGAGATGTCCAGCCCAGCAACACGACAAGAGGTGGTCACAATGACGCGGCCTCGCGTGTCACCCAGAACCCCAACTTTGATTCCGGATTGTCTTGCCGCCCGAAGATCTTTTCGTAGTCGCTTTTGGACCTCGTCCCAGTCGGGACCGTGACCCATGTCCAAGTCCATCTCACCGTCGGTGTCGAAATCATAGCCATCGCCGTCGGAGCTGGTATCCATGGTACTTTCGTCGTTTTGACCAGTCAAGTGGTTCAAGAAGCCTTGAAGAAGTGCGTCTAGAGGCCGGCCATTATACTTAGAGCCAATAGACTGGATTGCCTGGGCAACAGGATCGGAGATCCCTTCGTCGCCCCATATGCAGTACTCATGCTGAGTAGGGTATGCGGATAGATCTAGTGATGAGATTGGTTAGCCGAGATCAGGACACTGATATTTTGGGGAAATTGGACATACCTGGGACGAGGAGTTGAATGCAGCTTTGGTGACCAGCTGGATCACTGTAGGTGAAAGTGAAGGTGTCATCTTGCTGAAGCTTGAAGCCAGTCAACTGAGGATGAGAGGCCTGTCTAGCGTCTCGCAGGAAGTCCGCGCGAGGCATGGTGATAGGCGGACAGGTAGAGATAGAGAGGAGTGAGGTGGAAGGGAATAGATGTCGAAAAGATGAAAGAGAGATGAAAGAAGGATGGAAGAAAGATGGTGGTAGAGGGAGCGGAGAGACGATCCGTGAGATAGATAAAGACTGGGCGGATGATGCAAGGTAAGCAGCTTGTTGGTGAATGTGGCAGGTCAGAACTTGAACATGTGTTTAAGCTCGATACTGTGCTCAATCTGCCCTTTTCAGTACTTTTTCACTTTCGCTGGTTCGCAATCAATGCAGCAGAATTTATCGAGTCCCTTATGGTGATGATGTTGCTCAGACGTGCAACTCCAATATATAGGACGGCCTGAGCCAATGACAAGACAGCTTCAATAGCCAGGATCCCTTTGTTTTTACCGGACAAAAGTTGATATTGCCAATATGCTCAAAGCATTGCAATGTCTTGTTTTATGCTCTAGGAAAAAAAAAAAAAAAAAAAAAAAAAAAAACAAAAAAAAAAAAAAAAAAAAAAAAAAAAAAAAAAAAAAAAAAACAAAGCAAACAAACAAAAAGAAATAAAAAACAAAGAGAGAAAAAAAACAAAGGCATGGGTAATGAAGATTGGATTAGCTATCTACACAGTAGCCCATGTGTTAGGGAGATGCAGTCCGACTAAGGATAGCATTCCTCAAATGATTCGTTAATTTACGATGCTGTAGTTCGAAGCTTGACGGATAAGGCTATCGGGAAATGCCCGGGCTGAACAGAGACCCCCCTGCTTCAATCACTCGCCGCAAAGGTGTACAGTACACTATATTACTTTCTCAGTCCGACTGGCGATGCGGTAGCTCATAGATGTTGTATAAGGAAACTGCATCTAAATTCCAATATTTGGTACAAGTAGTTCCAAAATGATCGAAAAATAAGTGTGAACCTTGAAAGCATTTCAACCAACCGAGGGAGTGTCTCCTCTCCCCAGAAACGGAAATTCTGCTCGTATTCGTTCAAGTTTGACTTCATAGTCATGTAGTTTGACTTTCGAGGCAAAAGCTTGAATCTGACCCACTGAAGAAGTGTAACCTCGCTTCATAAAGACCCTGAAGCCCTCCTCACTTTTTGCTTTTCATTCAACACTGTTCTCCCCGGCGCGCAGCTAAGAAACGTCCGTCGCCTTCCTTCGCCATCATCCACCATGCCTCTGAGCATACATCTCAACAACGAGAAGCGCTGGTACTCTGGGGGCGAAACGATAAACGGTCACGTCAAGTTCCAGTGCACTCAAGCGACCGCAATGGACGACATTCGGGTGTCCTTCACCGGACGCACCAAGGCCAAAGTCCAGAAAGTTAAGGGATCGGCGGCTCCTTCAGCCAGCTATCGCAGCAAATGTGTGCTGTTTGAGAAGGAGAGAATCCTCTCGCATCTCAATGGCGGCACACTAGACCCAGGGACTTACGAGTGGCCATTTGATTTCTCGTTTCCCGCCCATGTTCAGTCGCCAGGCTCGTCGTCCGGGTGGTCCGAGAAGCCTCCTTTCCGCAGCGATGTAAATCACCCGCTACCGCCGTCATTTGCAGTCGAGACGGGGGACTCCCTTCGTAACTTGGAATGCGTGATCGAGTACCGAGTACAGGCTGAAGTATCCAAGCCGCAGAGAGGTCTCCTGGGAAAGAGATCGGCCTTGTTCAAGGAGACGCTGCACTTGAGATATCTCCCCTTAGCACCGAACGCGGAGAAAAGCGGCGACCAGTCTACCCTTTATGAACAACAAAGAGAGGAAGTGTTCGAGATCCGCAGCATCTTGCTCCTTCCTGAAAACAGAGGGCGAAGTCTAACCTTCCAGGAGAGAGTCCAATCATGGGTCTCGGCCAAACTGCCCCGTTTCAGCTTCAAAGCAACATTCTCCTATCCCACTTGCGTCAAACAAGCATCGACTATTCCATGCTTCTTAGACGTCCTCCCATTCATGGAAGACTCGTCCGTCAGCCAGACTCCGGGAATTGTACTGCAATCTTTGTCATTGTGGGTGGTCAGTGAAACCGCCGCTCGGGCTGCGCCGTCTCTGATAGGCGCATTGTCAGGACAGGTGGACGAAAAGATCGACTTGCTAAGTCAAAGTCATATTGCGATGCCTGTTATGGGGACTTTAGATCTGTCCCAAGCTTTCGGGCCACTGAGGCTTGGCCGGTCGGACATATCTTTCAGCACGTTCAATCTCAGCAGATCCTACAGACTCTGCGCTTCCTTCGTCTTTGAGTGCGCTGGAAAGTCGGTTGGATTCAATCTCACCGATATGCCATTTGACGTGGTGGCCAAAATTGAAGCGAACTGGGAGGAAGAAGCACAGAGTTCTTGCGCGCAGGGTTCCCCGCCGCCATATGACCCTGCTTCTAGTGTATCGACACCGAATGATAAAAGATAGACGGCTAGCTCCGTGTGAACGATGCGATGTAAGAATAAATCGTTTTACCGGACCGGGCCTTGACAATGCGGTCGGATTGGAAACTCCCAGATGCAGGGATCGCACGAGGGTGAGATTGCGGTCGAGAATTGGCCCTGGTGACGCTATAGCAGACCAGTTCCCGAGCTAGACATGGGTTGAACCCAGAGAATTTGTCAAATTGGGAAATATAATATCCTCATCTGCTGCCCCCGGATGGGGCCAAAGCCTCCGAATAATCGTTCAGGTGCTGCAGAAACAGCAGAACCAGTTAAGCATGAGCTATATTCGTCTTCATGATATGATCCTTGAGCTTCGCCAACCGCTCGATAAAATATGTGCTCCTCGAGGGAATATAGAGATTTAGCCAAAGGACCAAGTCCTTTATCAATTGGGGTTGAATGTGATGTTGGCATCTCGGTGCCAGCAGTAATAATAATAGCAACCTTGGTAGTCCTTGTAGTCCGGGGGATAGTAACCTCTGAGGATTGCTATATAATGTGAGCTTGGATTCTTGAAGAGAAGTCACGAAGGTATGGGGACTAGAGCATGCTGTCACAGCTTTCTAGAAAGTTGGTGGATGATTGAGAAATGACTGAGATATCTTCTAACCTGTGCTCATTGCCCAATAAGAGCTAGGTATTGATGAGAAGACGGATTTGTTGGTGAGGCCCATGACCGGAATGAAGTACACTGGTGGTCCGTCCTTCCTCGCATAGCCAGTTCAACCTTGACTGTTCTCAACTTGCGACAGCGATCATCAGGTACAATCACCAACGATGCTCAGCACCCACTGCAGTCGGTTAAACTTCTTGATACAGCACAATCTTTGGGAAAGAGTATTCCCACTCGTCTAATATTGTGGATCTTAGACTAACTCTGTCTACGCATGCTTCTAGAAACAACTTCCTCCGCCTCCACGAGTTCGGCAAGCCTTGACACAGCCCATGTCTCCTTCCAGCTTCCAAAAATACCATTGCGTTACTTTCAACTACTCGACCATTCTCGAAGACATTGGCGGGAAACAAGTCTGGATGCACTGTACGCTTGGCAGGTAAAACAAGCGTGGGACAATTCCTGAAAGGAGGAGAGCCATGATACTTAATAACCGGATGTGCGAATTACGATAAATAGCTATATTGTCGTCATCGGGGTTGACTTCGACCATAGCTAGTGGCTCATGGAACATTATCATCCTAGATGGTTCTTGTTGCCCACTGCCATTGCCTTCACATCAACCTCCAGCTGGTACAGTACTGGCACTGGCAGCATCACGAGAGCTATTCAGTCCGGACTTCCGGTTGCGCGCTGTGGTAGAAGTGGTGGACATGCCAGTGTTCTGCATTATCATTCTGCTTCATAGAGATCAAAAACGTCGGGCTCATGCCCAAGAGCAAAGCCGAAGTCGGCGGAGCCAGCACGGCTTAATTCTGCGTCGTGACCGTCGAGGGATGGACGCAAAGACGGGGAGGAAGCCAGGATATGTAGAAAGAGACGAATAAGATTAGTTGCCCACTACTTGGATATGCAATGACAAGGCTGAGTCCCAAGAAATCGAGATAGACAGTTCTACAAACTTGCGCCGTAAAACCTCTGTGACCAACAACATTTAAAGACAGCTCCCGCACAGTCATCTGAAGCCTCAAGGGCATATGAACCTTTTTCCAATATACACTTGTTTCCTATAACATAGCTAGATTATTTGTCTAGCTGCCTCTAGATCAGATATCCACAACCTTTCACTATAGCTATGCCTTGTTCACTGATGCAATTCAGCTAATTGATTTGACTATGTGAGTGGTAGAGATATTCAATATATACAAAACTAGATATATCCATCACTAAAATCACTCATCGAGTTGGATCATTGGATCCCTGCTTACAGAGACATCCATAGCATAGATAATAAAGGTAGGTGGGTGTCTCATTCACCTTGGGCCGGCCGGCCCTCTGCCCTCTGGCCACCCTCTCCCCCCTTCTCTTCTTCCCCTTCTTCCTCTCTTCCTCCTTCTCTTCTTCTTCCTCTCCCCGGACGAGTGAGCCATCATCGTTGAGTCGTAAGTATAATCCTCTTCCATGTTTCTTTTCATCATTCTCCATTAAATCATCACTGTATCTCATCTTCATTACCATCTCTAATTCATCTCCTGTATCTGTTATTTTATTTTGATATTTCTGACGCGTGAGGCAAGCTTGTCAACAAGTCTGGCTTCACAGAGCATCCCATGCTCTATCATCCTTTTGTCATGCCTCGTCTCAGCTTCACTCTCTACTGTCCTGTATCTTCTTTGATTGCGTGAGATGAGTGTCACATGCAAGCAGTCCTGCATCATCCTATTTTATCTCACTTCATTTCTTTAAACCTCGTCTCATCTCTTTACATCTTGTCTCATCTCATCTCATCTCATCTCATATCATCCCATGCCGTTATATCCCAATGATATAGGGATTACGATGGCTAACAGGCAATCCAGATCTATCCCATCACAATGCCTCCCTTTACCGAAGTAAGTCATCCAACTAATAGGTGCTAGTATCTCTTTATTAACTAAACCATAGTGCGGTGAGACTGGTCACCTAAAGGCTGTTTGCCCTCAGATCCGGAGCACAAAAACAGCCAGGCAAGCTGAATTTGTAAGTATATTCTGTTGTTCCTCCTTAGCCTATAGAAGTTACTAACATGCCGTTTTAGTTCGTCGCTGTAAGTATGGTTGGCCCCAGGTCTCAAACTCTTTTAACGATGAAATAGGTCGCGAGAGAACTTTCCGCCGCCGCCGCCGCCCGCGCCTCCCCCTCTTCCTCCGTTGGCCCTCGGGGCCCCGTGCCCGCCAACCGGGGCGCCGCCCAGCGCGGCCGTGGCAAAGGCGGCCGCGGCCGCGGCGCCCATCACAGCCGCAATGAGCGGCAGCAGCAGCAGCAACAGCAACAGCAACAGCAACAGCAACAGCAGCAGGAGGGGAAGGAGGAAAACCTCCCCGACGCCCCCGACGCCCCCGGTGCTCCCCTCGCCCCCGGTGGGGACCAAAACCTGCGGCGACTCGTCCAGAGGCTGCAAGAGCAACAGAACCAGATGAGCACGGAAATACTTCTGCTCCGAGATATGATCGTCGACTTGCGTCAACAGTTCGATGATCTATTTGCTCTCGAGGAGATGACGGGGCTGAAGGGACCTGGTAGGTACCTCTACCTATAAGCCATACATAGGACTGACATTAGTCGTAATAGAGCATCGTAATAAACGAACACAGCGTATCATGGCAGTCCCATTGACATCTCTGGCGGCGACAAGTCCTTCAAGTTCGATGATCAGATGATGTGTTCCAGCCGTCAAATACCCTATCCTGTTCACTTTTTCGCTATCGCTTTCGTCAAGGGGTTTGTGATCAACTTGGTCTAGCTTTCCATGTGCACTGGCGACATCACAGAAGCTGCTAGACATGGTCAACCAATCCCGGGGAGAAAAAGCCGTTCTCTGTCATATTATTAGATAATCAGATCTAGATGTATTCTTTAGATCATGGGGTTCCTCAATTGTTTGCTTCTTGCAGCAAGGCGCTAATGGAACCGGTCGGAATCCCGTTTTCTTTTCCAATCAACATTTCTGACTGTTTACTCTTGTTGACAAATCAACATTTCTGACTGTTTACTTCTGTTGAGAGAGAATTACTTAGTACTCATTACAAGCAACTAGCATCATTGGTCTAGTGGTAGAATTCATCGTTGCCATCGATGAGGCCCGTGTTCGATTCACGGATGATGCACTCACTTTTTGTTTTTTTCTCTATCACTCCTGCACCGCTTCTCCAGAAGTAAGAAGTATACCTTTCAAATCCTACCCAGTCTACTCGCCTAGTTTGTTTTCAACTTCAGCCACATACCTGGCTCTGGAAAACGCCGACCTGTTGTATTTTATCTCAGAATAACCCCCAACGAACAGTGACGCCGTGACCAGATCACTGTAGTCAGAAACCACCCTTGCCTTCCCAGAGCACACCAAAGCTCTAAGATACAGGCTCCGCTCTCTGCAACACATAACACTACTCCGAATCCTCCTCAGCATTCGCCAAGCTCTGCCCGTTGGTGAGCCGCGTGTTCCGGGTGCAGAGAGCGAACGCGATCAGTGGCACGGTTAGACATATGCCGGTGATACACAGCAGCTTCTGCGCATCCCTATAGGCATCAACGACTGCTTCCCTGGCGGGTTTTCCCATGGGGTGCTGCAGGCTGAACGTGAACGGGTCTGCGTATACCTCGGCCGCCAGAGTGGCGTTGTTCAACCGGATTTCCAGCTGCCTGTGAAGAACTTGCGTCCAGATGGCCCCGGAGATGGTGCCACCAAGAGCGCTGCCAATGTTGTAGCAAGACATGAAGAGTGCGGTCACGACAGCGAGGTCTGATCGTGTCAGGAGTGAGGGACAGTAAGGAGGAAGAATGTTCACTGACGCTCATGTTTGGTAGCAGCCTGAATGCTTGCTTGGGCCGGATATGGAAAGAGTCCACCAGCTGCACAAATGATCAATTACGTGTGTCTTTGGTAGGGACAAATGGGTAAGTTCTACCTAAGCCTAGAAGCACTTGGCCCCCTACGATGCCCGAGTGGCCTGACGAACCATGCCCCCCGCGACAGTGAATCAATAGGCCAAACGAAACCATGAACAAGATGGTACCTGCAACAATGAACGGCTTGAGGCGTCTGACTCCGTATACAACGAAGCCTAGTACGAAGCCAGTGACAACGGAGGCAAAGCTGGTCATGATCAGCACATGCTATCGTGGAGGTCCGGATATGTACCTGTAGAGCGAGTGTATCCTCGTCGCACTACTGATGCTCTCGCCAAAGCTGACAACGAGCACAGTATACAGGTAGCTCGCCTGCAAGGCCCAGGCTTTATCGACTGTAAGCAGATATCATTACCAATTTCAACCCGTCATCATACCTGTATTAAGCATCACCGCAATTCCTAATGCTCCCCAGACAGCTCGATCCCTTAGTAGTTTGAACGGGACTAAGGGATGGGCACATTTTCGCTCCCAGTAAATGAAGGCCGGTATACATAGTATCCCAAATACTAGAGGTGTAATCACTTTGGCCTGTTTCCAACGCTCACTGAAGCCCTCGGCAATGGTGAAGGGAACTAGTATGAGGGAGATACATGCAATCAGCAGTATCATCCTAATCACATCCATATACCAGAATAATCCCTTGGTCACGCGCCAGGCGCCATGGATTCTCTGAGCCCCGTTGTAGTCTCCGTTCCGCTTTATCACGTATTGGGAAATGAATAGCGTAGACATCAGGGGAACAGTGCAGACTGATGATGTTTCGTTAACTAATCAAGGATTCCAGTCGGTCTGATCTTACCTGGATAGATAACCGAAAACATGCCGACTCCCCATCGCCAATTAGTCGCACGCAGAACAGCTGCAGCAACATCTCCACTAACCCAAGTATTGATCTGCATTATCAGGCTTAGGCAACCCATTTTTTGCGATTCAACGAAGCGCGCTTACAATGAAAGGAATCGCAGGTATATAGGAGCACAGCAAACGGCTTCGCAGGGATGAGAGATCCCCCACGAGTATTTCGACGAGCAGTACGATAAGTGTGTAGCCAACCTAATCCAGGTCAATTGTCAGTGTCAGCCAATTATGGGAGCAAAGAGCTCAGTCTACCTGATATAGCACCGCACCTGCAGCAAACCGTTCGACTGTTTTGGAACAAGTCTCGACCACAGTGCCTTGAACCGGATTAGTGGCTATGAGCTGACGCTGGAAAGCACCCTTCATACCAATGGTGTAAAAGAAGATTGACACGACAATCAATTCGGGTCTCCCAATGACGTCTGCGATCTTGGCTGCAGTGGGCTACCGCAGGTGGTCTTAGTGAAACGCCAAGAGCAAATAGCGTAGGGTGTACCTGAATAGCTGCTGCAACCACAGCTCGTAGTATATCGACGGTCACAAGAAGGCTGTGGGTCTTGTAGGAAGCGGTAGCGTACGGCTATGGAACCATCACTTGATCAGCATGTATCTGGTATGTAGAAGGAGGCAAGCAGCAAGAGAACCTGGTATGTGCTTCGTACTAGGCCATCCAGGCCGTAGACGTAGGCAACAAGGAAGAGGCCGACGAAGACCAAAACACGGATAAGTCTCGACAGGCCTTCGTGAAGGGCCTCCATTTTTCATCACACCTGGACTGGCGATAGAAAATGGCTCAGGTGACTGATCCGCGGGGACCTGCTGAGATGCATCACGGTGGGACTTTGGGGCAGACATCGTCAGAGAAGGTGTGTCGGATAACTCCCTTCGCTGGTTGCGTTAATCTGATCGAGGTTCGGGGTGGAATTTGGTTTTTTATCAGATGGTCGTTTGGAGAGGAAGTGATTAATCAACAAGAGCTGGCACGGGAAACGTCAGCTCATCATAATGCTGGGAATTACCAAGTCAATGCTGAAAGAAGGTCGACGAAAGATCATTTCCCGTTCATGAGAACAGCATGATCAAGGCTGACTGCAGTGTGACATTCGGAGCAGAACTCCACGGGAAGCGATGCGGAATGTATACGCCGTATAACATGTCCGAGGTGATCTCACACAGTAAGGTTCTGAGACAAACAACGAACGACGAATATTTCATAACGGCGAAGTAACCATTACCCTCGAGAGACAATGTAGTCAAGGATTCTGGTGGCAAGGCAGAAGTAGATGTTGCAAATGGAACGGTCGGTTAGTTTGAAGGGGACGGTTGGAGAGAGACGGTCGAGCTGTCGGGCAAGAGTTATTCGGGGAGATGATGTGCTGTTGAGGCAGGAAGCAGACTGTCCAGCACCCACAATATGAGCTCTGGTTCTTCATACCATTTAGGCTGTAGCTCCTATTACCTTGCATTATAGTTTCAAGTTGCAAGTTACAAGCAAAACTTCGGTCGGTGGCCCTGAGGCCTCTATAGCCAGGCTGCTTACCGCCCGCCACGGCCAATGTTTGATTGATACAGTACATAATTCCTTTCGGATAGCCTCACGTAGAATTCATCGCCTATCCACGTCTCCAACAACTCTGTACTGTGAGAACTGAGCCTAAATCTGAATGAAGACAACCAATCCAAAGTTGAAACTCATCAGCATTCCTGTACTACCACCCTGCTCAAGCACACGCAACCCAATCCCCCCTTCAACTCATTGCCTTCACGACCACAGTTCCCGAAGATACAGCATACATCGCAGCAGGATACATGCACGCTCTCAGGCCACCGTGATAGACGCAGACCCAGACGAGTAGTAGCCTTCCGTAGCGACGATTTGATAGTTGTGGGTGCCCAGATTCATGCCCAGCTTCGCCCAGGCATTGAAGTGGTTGGCAGTCGTCACGGTGCCGCCGACGCGCTTTGTCTGACGGATGGACCAATACTGAGTGAAGGTGGCCGTGCCCTGGATGGAGGGGGCGTTGGTGCGGGTCGCCGTGTAGATATTGTACGTTGATCCGTCGGAATACACCGTGCCTTTGTAGGTGCCAGCGGAGCCAGGGTTGTACTCCCCGTAGTCCTCCAGGATGTAGTACTCGACGAGGGGACCGGTGGTCCAGCCGTAGACGGAGAGGTAGCTGTTGCTGTTTCCGGTGCTGGTCCAGGAGCCGGAGTATGTGATGTCGCTGTAGGGCGGGTCAGTTCATGTGCTCATAGGCAGAAACTAGAAACGAAGGAATAGTTCAGCAATTGCTCAGTGATCGATGACTTACTGGGCACTTCCAGGATTCCAGCCCTTTCCACCGACGAAGTTCGAGGCCGATGACCAGGTCACGCTGTAGGATCCCCCGGCACCGTTGCTGTACTCGACATCGCCGCTTGCGCCATCGGTCCAGAAGCTATAATAATAGCCGTTCGAGTAGCCTGTGGAACTGCCAGTCGAGCGCTCAGTAAGAGCAGAAAAGAAGTTGGGGCCCCGTTCTTCGACCGGCTCCGCCTCGGCGGCGGGGGCAGCGAAGGCTTTGACTGCGAGAGCGCAGGTGAGAAGAAACTGAGACAGGCGAGCCATTGCGATTCAGTGAATTGAAAGTAGATCCTGTGAGACTTGGAGTTGATATTCTCCTAGAGTATGGATTGAACGCATCTTTATAGTCTTTCTAGAGACTTGATTTAGCCGGGATGGTTGTGAAGACGAGGACGTGAAACGAAGGAGTCGTCTTGGCTTCGGCATTTGTAGATCTTTAGCCGGGTCGGAACATATGCCGAACCTAAAACGGAAGCAGTGTCGATCTCTCAATCTGCCTAAATGAAGATCTACCCCAGACCATGGCTAATCCTCACTTCTTCATCGCTTGGGTAATATTCGTGCAGGACGGCGAGGATGGTGTTTCCTGGGGGTTGAAGTGGGGTTGTAGGGCTGCTCTGTCATAGCCGGCTAAGTTGAAGTGGGCCTCTAAAGCACCAGGGCCCTTGCAGTCGTTCTATGCTAGTGTCTGCTTCGAATTGAGGCAGATAATTAGCCGGCTCGAAGGTGCTAGGAAACCCCGTGCTAGATCTGTTCGCAGCACGGAGGACTCGCCTGAGGAATAGTGGGCAGTCCAGGTGCGCGTCCAGATACGTGAAGCCGCCGACTAAGTCGTTTTATGAGCAGTCTGTACCATCATTTACATCAACTAGGCTCCGACCTCGTCAATGGGCTGATGGCTGAAGATATGCTCAATTCGCTGAAGTATGGGGCTTAACCAAGACAAGACTTACGTATCAGGAGGCGCAAGTTTGCCCCTGAGACAGACAGCTGATCGAAGCCAGCCAATGAGTATTACCCTCACGTAGATGAATTGTACGATTCTAAATAACCAGAGCTTGGCAAAGCCCTGAAACTCTACCAAAACGCACGTCCATTATACTTCGATACGGACCGATCAATCCCCACGGGGAGGTGGAACTGATTGATAAGATCGATAAGGGCTCAAGCGTGCCGTAATGCTTACCATTGGCTGCATCAATGAAGGCAGAAAGGCACAAGATCATTTGATTCTTCCGAGGCCGGTAGGGTCTATTTGCACCAGAAGAATACCTGTGATACTGTAGATACTTACAAATTGGATCTTCAATGCCTTTTCAGCCTGCGGAAAGTTGATTGTAGAAATGGCACCCTATCACTAATGGTCCATGCGGAGACCTCGATCGACTGCCTTGGTAACTGAAAAACCCCAGGTTATGGCCTGTACAGTATGGTAAAAGGGCGAGTCCTTTCTACTGCAGTAGCATGAAAGCATGAAGCATCTATTGGAGAAATAGTGGAAAGCTACAGGTAGCTTGACGTATGTATGAGCGAAGTAGAGGATCGAAACGCTAACCACAAATCCGAGCCGGCAGCCCCTCACGAAAACATCATGTCATGCGAAAGAAACCTAGAACAAGGCCTGGCAGTCCATAAACCTTTGAAATCAATCATCGGGAGAGAAGATAGATGCTATCACGTGTACACTTTGCAAATTCAAGTCATCGGCAATTAGGTAATCGGCAACAACCGTCGTCTTCGAGAGGACAGGTCCGAAAGAGCTAGGTTTCACCTGCCGGGTGGCTCCAAATGAGGATAGGCCAGGAACATGGCGAGCTATGTGGAATACAGTCTATGGCCGAGCACCAAGTCGGAAATCCCGCGCAGAGCACAAGAGAACCCACGCCAGCACCGCCCTGAAAATTTCTACTCTGGGATAAACAATGAAAAGCATTTCCAGAAACCCGATCGAAGAAGTCTAGACTCCACCCACACGGGTAGCATCAACCCACATTCCACACTCCCACGTTCCCACATCGGAACCCGACGAAAACTCTCCGGGGAATACTCTGTACTTTAATCGAGTTGGCAGAGCACATCGGAACCTATTACTCAACAGAATAGGGCACGAAAAGGGGAGCAAGCATGATTGAACGGAAACCCTTCAGCTGAGTTCTCCATGAAAAAAAAAAAAAAAAAAATCCAAATTATTATAGTCCACTAACGTCGTTATCGGGAAGCTGCCACTGGCGCTAGGAGCCGAGAAGGCAGCAGAGTTGAGGCCGTGGGTGCGTGCCCTAAAGAGGAAGTCTTCACGTCGAACTTAAGAAAAGTAGACGGGTCCTGTAGAGCAACAAAGAAAAGGGGTCTTGGAAGGGGGCCCTGTTGAACGAAAAGTCTGCTAACGCGGGGTATATGACGGAGGAAAGTACACAAGACGAAGGATTTGACTATATTGACTCGTCACTCTGTGTAGCAAGGCAGAGACGGGGGGAGGGAAATCAAGGTTGATTCGGATGACCGAGACGAGGGTCGTCGTATAATCGGCTCCACATGCCATCCATACTCGGGATTGGTATTTTATCGGCGATTATTGGCGATTATCGGCGTATTCAAAGAAAGGAGAACCACCCAGAAACGAGGAGATTAGGTCGAGACTTTCAGGATGACATCCGGGGAAAACGCGGGATCGCGAGGCTGGGGAGCTTCGGCACCGGCCAACGGGGGTGGGCGGGGTAATGCATTAGCCGCCTTCGGAGCCCAACGATCAAAATCAATTCGGCTGCCCGTCTGACAGTTGAGACTCAGTTGCCTGGGATTCTTCAGCTTGCTGATAGTCAGGTGGCCTTGTCTGGAATTCCCAAATCGAATTGTGACTCTCACTCCTCAGCGGCGAAACATCGGAAGAAGAAGAAGAAGAAGAAGGAAGTTCTCGAGTTCGCGGATTGGGGCTAGCTTGTTGCCAGACCCCATACCACATGAGCCGATATGACCGACTCTATCACCACTATCGCTGAATACGAAGCGCTAAGTTACCAGACGTTTGAGGGTATTATATTCGTAAATTAGCGTACTGTACGCATGCGTAAGGCGAGTCAATTGATGCGTCAGAAAATAAAAAAAACATTACCCCCATCCCTCCCCCTTTCCGCGTCCCATGCATCCCTCCCATTGGGGAGGTCTGCCCACCATCCTCCCTAACAGCAACCAAAAATCACATTTCCACAATCTCACCCTGGATCTTAGTCTTCTCGTTGTCCAGATCCTCTACCTTCTCAACCCCCGCGAGTCCTAGGCGATCGTAGATAGCCTGCATCCTAAGTCTATCCGCCTCGGCGATGCTGTCCATGCTGCCCCCGAAGAAGACATCAAGCTCTTCCAGGGTCTTATCTTTGGTTTCAGGTGCATAGTACCAGATAAACAGACCTCCCAATCCACTGAAAATAGCGAAGAAGATGTAGGTTCCGTACTTCATTGAAGCCAGCATGTCCTTGGTAGTTAGGCCGATGACGAAGTTGAACATCCAGTTAGTGGATGCGACAAGAGACACACCACGAGAGCGAGCACTTGAGGGGAATAACTCTTGCGCAAGGACCCATGATACTGGACCCCAGGAGTATGCGAACTGGGAGGCGAAGATCCAGATGAAGACGATGGCGACCCATCCTTGGGCCTTGTACAGCCCTTCGTTCAGATTCCAGTAATCCTCATAGATACCCTCGACGATAGCAACGACAATATGACAGCAGAACATGCCAATGGCACCGGCGATGAGGAAGGTCTTTCTACCGAATTTGTCGAGGAAAAGAACAGCGGGGAGGGTGAAGAGAATCTGGATGATACCGGTGACACCCGTAGCAAGTAATGTCTGCGTAGTCGACGAGAAACCGAAGCTAGCGAAGATCTGGGGTGCTATTTAGTGGGGGGGAGGATTAGTTCTGCCTATTCAATGTGGGATTAGGGTAGTACTGTACCATAATACAAAATTGCGTTGATACCTTGAGGATATTATTAGTCGGGCTGGGCTAAGCATTGAACACAAAAGAGTGGGTCATACCGGTAAACTGCTGGAAAACCATCATTCCACAGCCGATCCAGAGTCGCTTTCGCATATTTGGGGAAAAGAGAGCCTTCCAGGGAGCCCATTTACCCCCGACTCGGACAGCTTCGGCATTGGTCTCTTCGTCAAAGAGAACGGCGGCCTTGATTTCAAGAATCTCTGCCTTGAGCAAAGGATCATCGGGTGACAATCTTCTCAGTTTGGAAAGTGCAGCAACTGCTTCTTCCTCGCGGTGCTTGGACATCAGCCAGCGAGGAGAGAAGGGGAAGAAGAACATTCCGAAGAAGAGGATCCAGGCAAACAGGATCTGCAAAGCCAGGGGGAATCGCCAGGCAAGAGGCTTCTGTCCCATACACGTGTGGCCGTGGGCCGCGTTGTAGTCGAATGTTCCGTCGGCCAGGTAAGGGTTTTCCACACCTTCGGGGTTGCATTTGACACCACCGACGTATTGCATACCTATCACAATCAATTAGGCAACGATTGAGTAGCTTGTTGGAGAAGATCCTACCATAGTCCAGCCAGAAGGAGATGGCAGTTCCGATGGTAATCGAGAGCTGTTGCAAGGAAACCAGAGATCCACGGAGCTCTGTTGGTGCGATTTCGGCTTGGTACAGCGGAATGACCTAGAAGAATATGCTTGTTAGACCACCAGCCTTTTGAGCGAGCAAGAAATCTTTGACGACGAGGACGTACCTGACTGAGCATACCGATACCAACACCACCGATGATACGACCGGCGAAAAAGTAGGCGGGGTTCTGTGCCGCGGACTGAAGAGACGAACCCAGAGTGAAGACAACAACAGCCACCATCATACTATATTTCCGTGAAATGGCATCCGCGAGATATCCGTTCAAGAGCGCACCAGCCCAAGCACCCAACTCCAAAGCAGACACCAGCCAGCCTTGAATGGTAGAACCCATCAACGAAGGAAAGTGCGCTTTGAAGTTCTCCATGACGAGAACAGGCGCCATGACACCTTGATCGTAACCGTACTGTCAAGAATTAGCTGATGCCCTTCGGTGTGAGCTCAGGATAGTACTGTACCATGATACAACCGAGCGAAGCAAAGGCACAGGTCATGAAGACATAGGGATTCTTGAGCATACCAACCAAGCCATGAGGCTTTTCGGCGTTGGCTCGCCCGACCACTGACTGACTGACAACCATTTTTGCTGATAACAAACAGGACGCTGCTGGGAAGTGAGGGAGGAAAGACGGGGCGAAGCGCGACATTATATGTGACTCCCCCGCTCGAAAATTTCCCCTGCTTTCTCCTCAAGATCCCGTTAGTCCGGATTCAGTTGGCTCGAGTCTCCATCCATCAGTGACTAATGACATGCGCAACGCCGCAAAGGCCCATGGACAATGGCCGGGCAATTGTCGGATCAGGCACTGTACCGAATGCTCCCATCTCATTTGAAAGGAGCGGGTTGGTGAGCTAGCGCACCAGTCGCCGGCGTAGAAATCAGCCACCAAAAACCGAATTCGGGTTAGGTCTGACACATCGAGAGTTCGGCTTGTCCCCGTGGGTTGAAATGAATCCCGGGGAGGGGGTTCTCGCTACCCCGGGAATGGTTACAAATTGGTTTAGGCTGCCTGATAGTGGCGTTGGGGTGGTCAGGTTCAGCGGGGCGGCGAAAACAGAAGAAACTAGCGATGTGAGAAGCCGAGATTTCTCGAGTGAGTGGTAAGATGGGACACTGGAGGTCCGAGAACTCTGCACAAAGGATCAGTACTAAACCCCATGGGGAGTTTAGCGACGAACGAAAAGTGAAGATGACCAATGTGACTGATATGATCGAGATGACCAAGATGACCGACTCGTGGCGCAGCCAAGGTCAGGGGGTGTGAGACAAGAAGCCATGGCAGGTGGTGCCAATGGTTGCCAATTGATGCCAATGGCGCCAGTGATGGCAGTAGTACCAGTAGTGGCAGTGGTGCCAGTGGGAAGAGACATGTAAGCTCCGATGTGCGCGAGCCAAGTTGACGCCCAATGCTTGGATGGAGAGTGGCCGCCAAGAACTTAAACCTAAGTCTGGGCTCATGTTCGGCAGTCGGCAGTCGGCACCCACTGCTTGTCTGTTTGTATTATTGCGCTGACAACAAATTCTGTCAGCGACTTTGACTCTTCTTCTAGACCACTTTCGACCTAGCCTGGGGGCTAAACTAGATCATTCAGGTTTGCACATTTTTCACGAGATCGTTGTTGTCTGGGGAGTTCGAGTGGGGAGTTCCTAGTCTCTCCGGATTCTACGCGGCTTGCGTGGCTATCCATCCATTAGGGCCCTCACCCCTCACGTGGCACTACCGGTATTCTACCCCGGCCATTGCAGTAACAATATTTCCCCAACCCTTTCTTTCCCTGCTTGCTTACTTGCAGTTGCGGCCAGCTGGACTCGGACCGAACTCCCCAAACCCTCACTGCGCTAATTGATTAAATGAGGGGAGTGTAACCTTACCATCACCCCTATAATTGGCACATTATAGCATTTATAATGCGGGGCGCATTTTTCACCATCCGGTTTATTGACTTCCCGGTTCCGTTGTCCACGAAAAAAAAAAAAAAAAAAAAAACCCCTCCAAGACCGGCGCTTAAATTTATATGCGTTGTGAAGTTCTCCGCTTTATCGGCACCGGGGTAGCAAAAGTCAGATGATTCCGTTGTTGGACCACGTCGCATTTGAGGCCCGGGGCGAGCTCACGCGAAATCGAGATCTTACCGTGCGTTGCTTGTCAGGTAACTGAGGCCGTCTACGGTGGCAACAATCTTGCATCCAAGCAGGGACAGTCGGTGGAAGAGGGGCTTTCTGAGAAGTCGGCTTAGGCGCCTGATCTTTGTAGATTGTCAGCACAACAATAATAAAATACGAGTGGTGTGTAAACTGCGTACCGGTATAAATTACGCTCTGGTCAATGCACCCTTTCTACTTGTAGTCTGTTGTCGACGGGTGCCAATTTTGAGTAAGTTACTTACTGTCAGAGATAATCATCCATATTGATATTATTCAAGAGATTGGCAGGGTAAGCCAAGCAAGTGATACAGTTTAAGTACCAATCCACACATCACCGCTCATTCAAAGCAGATGTTTTTGTCCTCCCTCGCTGAGCAGCCTAGAATGCCGAACCGAGATCAGCTGGCACACTACCAAGCAACTGCTGCTCGTTCCTTTTCTCGGAACTAACCTACACACAGAGCTTGGCTGATGCCGCGATCGGAGGCGGCTCGCTCGGTCCTTGCACGCCTCAGATGGGTAAGTTCTCCTTGGCATCAATTTCGGCCTTGAGATGCGATCATTCCTCTGCTTGGGTCGGACTGCAGCGATAGGCTTTCCATCCGAGAATTAGGCGTGGGGGGTATCTGCGTTTGTTACCGAGTTCGTGAGTTTGACCTTTTGAGCCGGATTCATGCTTGGTCAATCGAGCCTCGATACAATGACCTGCCGAAGCTATTCAAATGGATGAGTGATCAACCCCCTCACTCAAGCTCATAGAGTCATTTCGTGTTCTCCTTGGTCATCTCGCCATTTGAACATCGCAGGTGGCACCTCGAACTGAGCCGGATCGACTTCTTTGATCACTGCATCTTGATAAGCCGATTTCACCTTCGATGTGCCGTTTGATAAGCTGTCCAAGTTATTGAGGGTACTAAACATAACTCCAGACGAGCAATCTCCACCCAAGCCAGCACCGTTCAAGTCTCCATGTATTTTTTCACAGTCGCCGCTTCTTCTACCCATGATAGAAGGGTAAGTAGAGAAGCATCTTAAAACCCCCGTTCGACACAGTCGACTGGCCACCACATCGAGCCGTTCCTCTTTCTTGGAAGCAACCTCTAGGAGAGCGCTGAGGAGCTTTTGTGCACCTCCGTTTGTGACGGCGTACGCTACACTGCCCACGGCCTCTTCGACCTGACAGGCCAAGCGCATTTGATTCTTGACGCCTGCAGGGGGGTCTCCGTGGTATGACCCCAGATGTCGACTTGGAACTGCTGTTATATCATGTGGTGTCAGGAGGAAACTAGAGCCGACTGCACATCTCATTCCACAATGCCCCAGCCAGAAGAGGTCCCAGCGATCCCCATACGGCATTTCCGCGGATGTGTTGCTTCGCTGCATCAATCTCATGCCCGATGCGAGCCCTTTTAGTTGCATCTTGAGGTTGACATCCCAGTCGACGGTTTCCTCCATAATCAGCGCACTTGCAGGACTTTCTGCCACCACACTAAGATCAATGAGATATATGCTATATATTTCATGACTGCTTGCGAGGTCATACCTTTGCATAGCGTTGAGGTGCATGTGAAAAGCCCTGGTCTCTGCTTCGCTTCCCTGGCACTGTCAGTGAGATATTTCGACAACAGTAGAACATCCTCACTTTCGAGGATTTCTCGCGATTGCCACGTTCTCGCGCTGGTTTCTCCATGAACTCGACATGAAATCCTCCCATCAACGAGCCCCGGGAGATCGCTTCTCGTTCGTCAGGATTGCGAAGTGCACCGATTACGATGATACGCTCGAACTGCCCTCTGTTAGTCTTTGGGAGGTATTAAAGAATTGCGATGCAAGGTACCCCTAAGCTCCCGTTCCTGGCCACCTCAGATGTATTCGGATCAAAATGAGCCGAAGCAGGCCCATTGATTTCGGTCTCACAATCAAAGCAGTAGATGAGATTATATAGATTAACGACGGCCAATGAAGAGGCGATGAGACTTATCAAGTATCGACATCTGCGTGGGAAGTAACGACGTGAGATTTTTGTGAGAGCCATGCTTCCAGAGAACGCTGTCTCGATGGCATGCCCCTCATGCACACCGAAAACATAACATTCTCCCCTTAAATACTATCCAGATCTTCTCCACTTCGAAACTTTCAACGAATGTGACAATTGTGTGATCCGGACACTTCTTCCAGTCATATCCTGCGAAGTAACGCCACGCTGCCGGCCTTTTCCCGATTCAACAAATGCTCAGGGTTCAACCCATGTCTAGCTCGGGAACCGGTCTACTATAGCGTCACCGGGGCCAATTCTCGACCACCAATCTGACCCTCGTGCTATCCATGCGTCTGGGAGGTTTCCAATCCGACCGCACTGTCAAGGCCCCGGCCGATACAACCATGTTATGTAACCCCAGTAAACTTCTAGGAATCAGCTATTCTGCTAGCATGAGCGCGGTGAAGTCTGGCTGACTACTAAGTTCATCTTGCGTAAAAATAGAGATCTGCAGTAGAAGAGGTACAACCGAAGAATCAGAGATCTTTTGGCCATGCGTAGAAAGCCCTAATCTCTACCCTTTGTGTTAAGCATATCTTACACTGGCAAGGCCCAACAAGAAATACCCCGCATGACGATATTGAAACCTGAATAACATCGCAAGTTGTCGACGCCACCAGTTTCCAATTGAATCTATGATGGCAAGAAGCAGCAAGTCGCATTAGCGCAGCGAACAGCCTCCTCCGATCTACCGTGCTGTCGGAATCCCCACTCATCGACAAACGAAGGGGCAAGTCCGCGCCAACCCGCACGTTGTAGGTACCCGCAATGGTAATACACAAAGCTTCTTATCTTACCACGTGGTGGATCCCTAGTGCATGCGACTTTATGAATCTGGAGTACAGCCGACGTACTTGCGATGCTCATATCATGCACGATCACCACCTATCCAGTTCCTGATTTGCGCTCAGCGTGGCTGCCACTACAAGCCAAGGTTATCTCTTAATGTTTTACTGCAAATTTCCTATTCCTGCTTATGCACAGAATACCACGAGCTGTTCGGGAAAGCCTGGACTATGGTAAGTAAGGATATTTGCGACTTCGCGACTTGAATAGCGCATAAGCTATCTTCTCCATCCATAATCCGTATAGAGGGCAACAGTATCATTTTTAGAAAGTCTGGCTAGTGCGCTGGTCATATGAGCAGCATGCAAATGGAAGATCCAACAGACTTGGACTCGCATGACATCAATAATTTGATCTCTTGATTGCCACATTGTGCCGTTACTACCCTCAAGTCTAGCCTTTCATTAACGCGCAGGGATCCAGAACGCCATAATCCTGTTATTGTTCTTTTCTAAAGTGACGTCTAATTGAGTGCTGATACATTGACTTAATCTGGAGAAAAACCCAATTAACCTTGATAGCTCTTGCTTCTGCTTGAAGGAGTAATGTAATATAAGTAGCTTTCGCTGACTATCTTGGGGGTTCACAACTTCGGCAGTAGGATGTTGACTTAGAATTTGGAAAACAGTAAAAACGCAGCAAAGAAGCAGCATGCCTTCACAATAGCTGGCTTTATATCACACCATCCTCCCCAATGGGAGCAATGGCCCCCCTCTGTGCCTGGCGTGCTGAAGGCAATTCATCTGTCTTGCAACGACACAGCTTGTTCTATAGGTACAGTGCTTGAGATGCTTCCAAGTCTTGCCACTGTGCGGCAAGAACACTACGGAAAAAGCTTTTGCTTAATCCACCAAGAAAGAAATAAAAAGAACCCCGGAAAATCAGAGGCCAACCCCCCAATGGGGACATCACCGCAACCCAGAGAACGAAAAGGATTATTTACGATTTGCTCGCTATCACAACTTATGTTAGTACTATGTAAATAGCTTATAGTTAGAAGATAGCTTACTCCGCAATGTAGTTTTCTAGGTATTCAACAGCTTGGTGGCGATGAGCGATCTTAACGAGATCAGCTCGAAACTATGAAATCGTATCTCTGAATGTGGGTTTGAGGAATTCGCTAGCTCTTGCACAACCGCACCGAGGTCCGTCAACCTGTCACCGAACTCAATAAGCTAGTACCAAAGGTCATCTTCTTCTGAGATATGCGATTCAACATGTCGAGGATTTCCTGGCCCAGGGCGGCAGCGGGGGCGCGGGGCCGGCAGACGGTCCTCTTTCAACCTATTTCTTGGTTAAAACTAGTTGAAAATCGAGGCTGACCATACTCACCGCAACAACCTAAACAGCAGATTGGTACTTTGTATAGATTTAAAAAGAATAAGGGGATATACTTACAAAGCATGCCTGTTTAGCTATAGCGACGCCCCGGTTGGCGGGCATGGGGCCCCGAGGGCCGATGGAGGCGGAGGCGCGAGCGGCGGGAGTAGATGACTCTCTTTGGACCTATTTCTTGGTTAAAACTAGTTGAACTCTAAGACTAACTATACTCACAGCGACGAACTAAACAATAGATTAGTACTTTTTATAGATTTAAAAGGAATAGTAGAATATACTTACGAATTCGGCTTGTTCGGCTACCTTACGACTGCGAATTTGGGGGCAGGCAGCCTTCAAATGGTCCTGCTTGCCGCAGTGAAAGCATTCACGGTCCTAGTTTATTTAGTACTAATACTAAGATTTATTAGTTGGACAACTTACTTCTTGAATAGGAGGTATCGTGGCGGATCTAAATTGCAAGTTAGCCATACTATATAATTAGGATGAAACGGCATGAGATGAGATGAGATGATATACAATGATATTTCGATGGAGAATGATGAAAAGGAACATGGAAGAGGATTACACTCACAAGCGATGATGGCTTACTCGTCCGGGGAGAGGAAGAAAAAGAAGACCTAAACAAGTCCCACTTCCGAAGGGGACAGCCGATCTTCAGCAAACCGCAGAGAGCATGTCTACAGTTATGACAAGCGCGAGTTTAGTTAGCACTGAAACTTAATAAGGATTCTCAGTACTTGTTCAGCAGCCGGCAACGTAGGCAAGCCCTCCGAGAGAAACGAGCACAAAGGACTGACGGATATAAGAGAAGGGATGGGATAACTTACCTCTTGTATATGCTACACCTTTGGTGGAGCTCGATGTCTCTCATTTGGCACGCATGCCCTATGCACTGAGGTTCTACCAGTGGAGAATCCTCAAGTATACAGTGAATGAAGTGCAATCTGTCGCAACAGGACTTTCAAGCACGACAGCGCCACTGATTGGGATGAGTTTTTCTTGCCGCGCACGGCGTTACCAGACGAGCTAGTGATCAAAGTGCCCTGCTCTGTACAGTTGCAGGGCTGAGAACCTGGCCGGAAACGGGGCATGTCGGCCTTCAGAGCTTCAGAGGATTTATCAGGAATTCTGCTTGTTATGGTCTTAAGTGCTTTAGCTCTTCTTCCAGGAGCCTCTTATTCCCTACTCTCGTGCCACTGAATGTTTGGCGAAAATTACACATCATCTCTGAGCATGCCCCGAGCTTTGTTACAATTACCACTAATATTGTCTCTATGAAAAGCTAAGAGTACATTGAAGCCGCATTGTGGTACTTACTCTGAACCGAAGTAATGCTCAAACCCCTCAATGCGATGAATTGCATTCCGGGCCCATACAAACAGGGAGCAGTTACCTGTTGCCAGACGATCCGAAGCGAGATTGACCAGATACCGACCCCAACCATCCATCCACCAAGTATTGAGGATGCGGCCAATGGCGGCACCATAATAGCCGAGCAAAACAAGCGCCATGGGCTCATCCTGCATCAGAGCATCCAGGAACTCCGACTGCACCACGGCAGCCCAACGCAGTAGAACGGATGCATTCTCGTTGTCGGCACACATCTGGAGTACGCTCAAGAGACTTTCGGTGGCATGCACAACGGCAGGGGCTGTTGGTCGCTGATGGTTCGAGTCGAAGTCATGCCGCTGCCGCTGCCGTTCTTCATGTACTTCATGCAGAAGACGGTGGAGAGCCGTCGCATGATGTTCGACGGATGTTCTCTCCTGCATCCTCTCCACTGTCAACAGACCGCGCATGCCTCCGCTTGCAATCCATGGTCGAGCCTGCTTCACCATAAACGCCGCTCCGCGAATCAGCTTGAGGACTTCGATGACATCCGACACGGACTGGGCTTTGGGCTGGGCGTTGGGCCCGTGAGCGGCGCAGGCGAACATGATGACAAAGCAGGCGAATGCAAAGAGAGCGTGGCAGTTATCGGGAGTCACCTGGCCGAGGAGGGGAGAATATAACGAGAGGGCGGTGTTGTTGTGGGTCATCGCCGCCTCGATATACACCTGGCGCCGTTCGATGGGGCCGTAGCGGGCAAGGTGCAGTGCCGACAATGCCAAGAGGATGCGCATCAAGAAGGGGTGGCGCAAGGCCTCTTGCGGCACAAATGTCCGCAGCACCTCCCGGGTTGATTCCTGGGAGACCAGAGTCTTCCATATTGCTACATGCCAGTGATTGAGAAGTTCGAAGTCGAGCATAGGAAGTTGTGTGCTGCTGTCTATCGAGGGGACAGCGCCTGTCGAAGGAGGCTGTGAGAGGCTTTGAGGGGTGCCATCGCTGTAGAACGAACAATTAATGTTTCTCTTGCGACAGGGGCTGCAGATAGGACGCAATTCGTCACATTTGATTCTGCGCTTCTTACAGTCGAGACACCCGTGATGCGATTTAAGGTGTGAGCGCCGCAGTGGCATCTCCTAAGTGTGGGACCGGAAGACTGCGAGGAAGAAGATTGTGGAGAAAGAACTCGAAAATTGATAATGGCCTGAGATCTGAGGCAAAAAAGGAAGCAGCCGTAAACTATACCTCTTTGGGTATAGATCTCGAGTGCACCCGCAATAGAGCAGTCATCAATTGGCTGAGCCATCTCGCTTATTGTTCTATTCTTGTTCGGTACTTAAGATATGTACGTACCTGCTCTAATGCCTTTGTGTCCACTAATAAACCCCCTTTCCCAACATCTCCATCACTTCCCAAGAGTTTCTATCTTGGCTCACAGCTTTTATTTTAGAATGTGCAGAGCCGGTGTATCCAGTATGGAGACTAGTCAATGCAATAAAAGGGCCGTTTATCGCCTACATGTGCGGTGAAGTCTCAAGTGTTGATCATCGCTGCAGACAACAAGCAGAGACCGACCCTTGAACGAAGCAAGCAAAATGATAGAGCTCGCAGCTCGCTCAGCATTTCGTTACTTCTACTACAACCCTTCCTTAGCTGCGGCAGTCATTTTCATCATCTGCTTCCTCCTCACCTCGATCTGGCACACGTATCAATTAGTCCGCACCAGAACATGGTTCTTCATCCCCTTCCTCGTGGGAGGATACTGTAAGTCGCCGCCGCTTTTTTACACATGCGCCCTCTACGCACGCCCGAAAATGGCATCTGACCGCGTTTGCAGTTGAATTCATCGGGTACTGCGCGCGCGCCGTCTCAGCGGAGCAATCACCCAATTGGACGATGGGTCCATTCCTAGTCAACTCGCTCATGCCGCTGGTAGCGCCGGCGCTGTTCGCCGCATCGATTTACATGGAACTCGGCCGGCTGGTTCTGGTCCTTCACGCAGAGCAATACAGCCTGATCCGACCCAAATGGATGACCAAGATCTTCGTGCTGGGCGACGTGCTGTCGTTCTTGCTCCAGTCCGGAGGTAAGAGCATACTTATCCTCAGGTCACATTTGGCCTTCCCCGAATTAGTCTCGCCTGTGCTAACGACCGGTCCCTTCTCTTCTTGCGTACAGGCGCTGGCATGATGGCCGGGAAAACGCAATCCAGCTTCAAGACGGGGTCGAACATCATCGTCGTGGGCCTCGTGGTGCAGATCGTGTTCTTCGGGTTCTTCATCGTCACGACCGGCTTCTTCCACCTGCGGATGACGAAGCAACCGACCACATACTCGCTGAGCTCGGGGATTAACTGGAAGAAGCTGGTCTGGACGCTCTACGCAGCTAGCGTCCTGATCCTGGTGCGATCGGTCTACCGGTTGGTGGAATACATTGAGGGCTTCGGGGGCTATCTACTCAGCCATGAGGCGTACCTCTACGTGTTTGACGCGCTGCTGATGTTTGCCGTGATGTTGATCTTCCATTTCGTCCATCCGAGCGAGCTCAATGCATGGCTGAGGTCGGGTGGGTTGATCAGTAAGGGTCTGCGGTTCGAGCGACTGAATGGGGATGCGATGCAGATTGCGTGAGCGGTCTTGAGTGCTTTGCCTCTGCTATAAAATGGATTCGGAAGAGTTGTCGGTTAAAGCTTTTTACCGGGACAAGGAGTCATAACGATTCCAAGGTGGCTCAGTACCGGCTGCGATTCCTGCGTTGCATATCCCCGGTCTTCCCGCCCAAGCCGCCCCAGCAAGACAGCCAAGATCAGATCCTACACTACGTTAAGATGATGCAGATTCTCTGGCAGGCAAGCTTTCTCTATTGCGTATGTATGCCTAGGTCGACGGGGTGGGGAGTTGCCACCACTACGGGCAATTTCTTAGAAGGCCAGGGACTGGGCATATAGTCTCTTTAAACAGTCGAGAAGTGAGTGACTTTGGCGAGAAGATGAACTGAACGGTTTTCTGAAGACTTCGTGTGTCCTAGCGTGGTCAAAAAGCTTCATCTTCGAGGTCGAGTTTCTGCATTGGAAGAGTTGGGATGTCCAAGAGCGATACTGTTCATAGATGGTGCTGTGTGCCAGGTACTTACCACGATGACTGATAGCAAGGATTAGATGGTGGAGGTAGTGTATTCAAGGAATAGATAAAGCTCTTGCGAGGGAAAGTGATATCAACATTGTAGAGTGGGGTAGAGGATTAGGGGAAGATAGTTACACTAACAAGCAAATTATCTGCAAACAGGAAAGTAGATGACAGTCTAATCGAGCCCAAAATATGACCACATGAAGATGAAAAAGGAGGAGGGGGTATGAACACATGCTTCAAACACGGACAAATTGCAAGACCGTAAGCCCGGAAACCAAACAACCGAGACCTTTTTTTCCAATGCACTAGCTTTTTTTCCAAACCGAGAATCCCATGCACGCTTTTACCGAAATACCGAGAACCCAAGTATTATTATACCGACCACACACTCAGGCCCATTTTCCGATCAAAGCCATGATACCAGCACCGAACAACATGCAGAGGACCATGAAAGTCAGGCGCTTGTTGTCCTGGGTGCGGTGGGGGTCGAACAGGAAGTCCCGGGCCATCAACTCCACCAGGCCGGTGTAGATCAGGATACCGGCGGATATGGCATCGAGCACACCGGAGACCACGTTGGCCGTGAAGGAGCCCGAGTTGTACGTGGTCCTGAGTCCGAGACCGATCGCCACTGAGATAGGCGTGGTCAAGCCATACAGGGCACAGAGCACCCAGGGGAGCCAGCTGCCCTTGCGGAAGGGGATGGCAGACATGCGGGCGCCGATACCAAGACCCTCGAAAGACTGATGGAAGACCAGAACCGGGTACAGGGTGGAGAACTCATCACCGACGACACCCAGGTTCAGACCGATGATGACAGAGTGGAAGATGACGCCGAACTCCAGGATCAGGAAGGCGGCGATTTGTTGCCGGAAGGATCTCTCAATCCAGGCCTCGCTGGAGGTCAGCGACTCGGCGTCGGTCTCATGCTTGCGCCGGCTGGTGGCGGCATCCTTCGTGACGGAGCTGTTGTCGGCGGCGCTGGTCATGATGGGCTCGGGATCCTCTCGGCAGATGCCGTACTTGACCTCGACGTAGCGCTCGGCGCCGAAGTCGAGGAGGAAGATGCACATGAGCGAAGTGAGAACGATGGCGGGGCACCATGAATAATCCGCCCAGTGACCGGTCATTCCGACGCAGGTCTGCGGGCCGATCTCGCCATAAGCAGGATCGAGTAGGTGGATGAACGCCGTGGCGATGATGACACCTGCACCGAAGTACCGAGCGAAGAGATAGACATATAGGGGGATGTGCAGGCGAGGAACGCGCTTGGCAATCACAGGAAAGAAGGTGACTGCGGTCGACACGATGAAGATGACGAAGATGGCGGAGATACGCGCCCCCAGGTGTCCGTTGTACTCGTTCTCAGCGGCATTCAAGTAACAGATCACATCGACTGGGTCGGCAGTATCGAGATCGACGTCGTTGGGGTTGAACGACATTTTAAATATGCCTTGCCTCGGAGGTCAATGCGAGAATCTAGACAAAGGAAGCTTGTTTAGGAAGAGATTTTCTGCTCTGACTGTCTTTCTGGGCCGAGTCCGAGCCTCTCTTTATACGGAGATATCGCTGACGATGGTGGGCACTCCATGGGGACCTTGTGGAATAGTTGCCCACACTAAAGGAATAGATTGCATTGTGGTCTCACGCGATCCAGATTTTGACAGAAATGACAAGGACTTCATGACTGACACTGAGTTTTATTTCGGCTCTTTGTCAAACTTGAGGATTTGTTAGATGGTGATGTTGCTTTTCAATTGTGAAAGAGAAATGAACGAGGAAGGATGCGGTCGAAGGAGAACACCGGCAGGCCAGCATTCTTGGCCTGAGGAACAAAACCACGAGGGCCTGACAACAAACCACCGGACAACCTCCGCCGCCACCTTTTCTTCTCGCCATCCACAACTAACTCAGAGGCCCCACCCACTACACTTGCCTGTAGTACCTTGTGAGCAAACAGGCACAGGCCAACAAGGAGCGTGGGATAATAATCTCGCCTACTTAGCTACAGCCACTGATTGATACGAAAGGCCCCATCGGTGCCCACCTGGTCCTCTCCTCTAATCTCACCCAATGCTCTTACTGCGTCATACGCTCGGGGAGCTCCGGCCCACTCGATGCTTTCCAAACAGGTCCTCAATAAGCGCTTCACCGGGACCCTGACAGGAACTATTGCGATTGCATAGTTCGTCTCGTTATTAGTACCTTGAGGGGGTGCAATCTTCTCATTTCCACTCGCCATGGTCCTTTCTCTCAACCAGGGATTCGGCTCTCGGAATCGCACCGTCAAAATAACTAAGAGTCACTGAGTCGAATAAACAAGCAAGGAACAAGCCTGCCTTGGCCGATGGAAAGTCCTAAGTTCTCCCGAGAGCCATGCGCTCAGTGTCGCACTGTCACTCCAATCTCTCCGACGGCTACCCACTTGGTCTCGGGCCAGAAGCCTATTGTGTCCGGTCGAGCATAGACTTTGGCCAGGACCGACACCAGTTCAGTAGCCTGCATCGGGTACGGCGCTAGCATGCTTGCCATGATTCTGATCTTTCGACTATTGTGGATCCCCTACTCATGTTATTGCCGAAACTTAGCGAGGTGATGCCAAGGGAGGGTCTTGTTCACTGGGCAGGCGTCGTTACCCTCGTCCGATCAATGCCAAGAGAACGTATACTCATAGTTCGTTGCATACACAACTGACATGGCATGTCAATGGCATGTGGACCGACAACAACGTGGTCTGCAGGGTCCCGTTGCATGCATTCGGAATGTACGACTCTAGGAGTTACCTGACAGACTACGGTAGCTCAATATTTACAACAAATTCACAGACGGTCTGGAACGATCTACGGTTTAGCAGTTTGAGGAAATAGCAATTACCCTGTCAAAAGCTATCATACGACATTTCCGGCACGATCATACATCACCAATTTCTCCTTCCGCCTGTTATCCATTCATCGCCTTCGCACCAGTCCACAATTCAAGGTGCTTGATTCTCGAAACCGGTGGATTTTGCCATATCGATTTGGGTGACTAGTGCCTCAATGGCGATGTCGGCCGGAGTCGAGCGACATAATCGAGTTTAGTGCTAAATACTCTGGTTAGACACTCGAATCGACAAACAATGAATCGGGGAAACCAACGCTGCAAGAGCTGCAGGAGCAGCTAGAGCAGTTGCCGGAGCAGCAGTTGCAGGAGCAGGGAGACATGTTGATTGATGAGAGGAAGGCTTAAAAGCGCTTGAAAAGATGTATGTTTGGAAGTGGTTTGATTTCTTTGATAAAGAGTCTGATATGCTTGATGATGGAAAGAAAACACAGGAGTCCAGCAAAACACACGCCCTATTTATACCTTTTCTGAGGTCCCCTCTGCCCGATTTCCGGCGCCTTTCACGGTCAGTTGCCGGTCAAGGATCATGATACCACTCATTGCATCGGTCTTGTTGGCGGCGTGGGGGGCAGTAAACAATGCAGCGAACCAGCGTAGGCATTGTGATGATGGTGCGTCTCGCAAGGAACTTTTTGCATGTAGCGAGTCGAATAGCATCGCCAGGCTGACTTGACCAACCACCCGACCCTCATGGGCTGACCTCTTCCTTCTCCACCCAGTCCAACAAGATTGAAGGCCTAAAGCCACGCTAAGAGGCCAGTTACCTTGCCATCGCACGGGGTGGACTCGTATCCAGTGCGGACGGGAGCGGAAGGGAGGTGAGGGGGTGCGGATGATCATAATCATCTACTCCCTTAATTTCCATCCCATTCACCCCATAAGAATGATAGAGACAGGAAAACAAGCAAAGCCGAGAGAACCTTTCCAAAGAATAACTGAGCGTGCTCGAGAACCATGATTCTTATAAAAATGATGGGTTGTGGGTGAGCACCTTGAGAGCATGAGCACCTTGGTGGCTCTCCGGCCTCAAGGTCCTCGAACCCTCATCAAACCCTCTGAGTTTTCACCCTCACATTTCCCTGCTCTCCAACCACCTGCAGTGGCTTAGCTTACGCATGAGAAATCAGAGTTTTCACACACTCCAGAAGCGATAGACACAAAAGCTCACTTTTTGGGTCTAGTTGCAGAGGTTCCATATCCCAGCTCATGTGTCTCCTGCGGACTATCAGCAGGTATGTCTCCGACGCTAGACCTCATGATATGGCCAGTCGCTCGCCAGATGCACCACAACCCAACCTGAACTGACTCAATCAAGTGGAGGTATCTGAGCCATACACCGTCGTCACTTGTGTATAGCACACCCCGAGTTCCTCTCTTCCCTTAGCCCCACCCCCCATCGGCCATCCCCGGCGATGTTATACCCATTCCACTTACCCATGCACCCTGGATTCGATTTTGCTTTCTTCTCTGCTTACAACTCTACGTACTCCAGAGGCTAAATAGTGAGGTTTTCGGTCAATACCTCCCATAGCCAGCTCCCACTCTCTCTGGCGGCGTCTACCGGAACTCCTTTTCACCATCTACCTCAATCACATCCCTCAGTAGAAGAAGACATAAGAAGTCACATCTATCACACCCTTCAGTCCTTAATCACCCGAGTCCAAGACAAAAAGCAAGGTAGCGAAGCAGCTAGAGTCGATCGCCCCCTACCGTACATTTCCTACCATACTCTAAACACCATACACACCGCAGAAAGTAACCACACGCGAATCCAACCCACCATCTTCCTTCCAACTCGTCACAGAATAATCTGGCCTCTATCTAAGAACTGAACAATAATATGTTACTGTTTCGTAGATCATATCCTACACTTACCCCATCGATCCTCCTTCAACCAACCGAAAGGAAAGCCTGGAACAAGACCAAAAGCCATGCAGCAATACCAAATCCACAGAAAAAGATGTAAATAACCATACAAAGAGGCATGCCTACCGCCCCCCCCATTTACCCAACAGGGAAAGCAACTCAGAGTTCCGAGATGATATACCGAAACAGCGACAATGAGCAACAAATGACTTCGAGTCTTAGCACATCGCTCTTATCCCACGTATCCCTAGCACGAGACCATAACCAAACACCACTTGGCAGGCAAACCTGTTCCCTCGTGCTGCTGACCGCAGATTCCCTCTGCATTACTACATGCTGAGTCAAGGATAGGGGAAAATGGAGCGTAGAGTCACGTGGGGACTCATGGGCCAGGGGGTATACAATCCCCGGGAATTGATGGAACCTCTTCAAAGGGCACGTTCGACGATCAATGAGTGAAGGGATATGCTTCCACTGAGAGGGTGAGGTAGTAGCATTGCTGTGGTGTAGATTGGAACAGTCCAAATGTGCTTCACACTACCTTGTCCACAAGGCAAGCAGACGATGATCTGAATCTAGCCCGCCCTGTGCTTGAGGAGACTCAATGGATTCACCCAAGGCTGTTTCTTGGTTCTTTGTGTTGAGAAGTAGCATACATAGTCAGAAAGAAAATCTACATACTTGGAGCTCAGATCTCAGCTGTGATGACCATGCCAAAGATGATTGTATCTTTATCAAATCTTGTGAGCCTGGTATCGATCTATCACAGACCATTTTGAGGACCCTGGGAAGCGCACAAGATTCTCTTCCATTCACCAATAGGATGAGGAAGTCGTCTCTGCCAACAGCCATCTGTCTAACCACATGTCCCTCAACCTGTTCAGCTTCAGCCACATCTTGCGAACCTTCAACTGAAACCCCCACAGAACCCAGTTCTTCTGATAGACTACAAAGACCATCACTTCGCAACCCCATAAAGTGAGATATTCCTCATCAACCCCGTGAACCCCTCCCCGACGCGAGCCAAAGGCGCCTCAATCGCAATAGGCGCCCACACCAAACTATCGCCATCCACACCCAACCTCGTCAGAAACTCCATACTAGCCGCCTGGCCATTCGCCTCCGATACCCGAAGAAACGTCCGATTCCCCTTACCGACTAAACTCACATCCGTCCAGACATCCACCGGGAGACTGTAATTCAGCGAATACGCGTTCCCACCGCTGACCAGGGTGAGGTTGCTGATCGAGCCGTTACCGTTCAGAAGCGTGGAATCAAAGCCGGAGAAAAGAGTCCCGGGCACTGGGGAAGTGGGCTTCACGGAGAATGAGAGCGTGTAGTCTCTTCCTTTACTGGTGAGCGGGGTTTGCAGGTAACAATTATCGGAGAAGATGATGGCTGAGTGGCGGATCTGGCAGTTGTGGACCGTGCCGTGGTAGTTGTTCCCGGAGAAGTCCTTGACGCTGGTGCTGTTCTCTCTGAGTCTATACTCGAGAATCCGTCTCCCTTTACTCGGAATGCGACGATCGAGATTCTGCCCAGGAACCGCGGCGTGAAGTTTGTGAAATACTGCATCGTATTCTTTCTCTTGGAGATCGCCACCCCACTGTTTGTCGCCGAGGGCAGGAAGGACATCTCGCCACGAGTAATATGCTTCCAGAACGGTGGTGGCATTGGGTCCAAAGTCATTCCAGAGGGCGGCGATGTGCCCTAGCACACCGGGGCTATCACGAGGTGGGTTGTTGGTGGCGTTCTTGGTATCGAAGATGTTAGGTGCGTATGCGCCGCCAGCGGGGTTTCCGTGGAATACTCTGGTTTTGTTGAGATATTGAGGATAGCTCCCAGACCACTTCCCAACGATATAGAATGCATCGTCAGAGTTGAGAACATTGTATCCATTCTGAATGTAGTCAAAGTAAGGATTGTCTTCGAAGAATTCCCAGTGCTGGATCGAAACATCCTTGCTAACATTGGCGCCTTGCGAAGGTGTGAAGGTTCCCCAGATCCGAACAGATTTTCCCGACTCTGCCTGGATATACTCGTTGAGTTGATTCACAAAACCAGTGTAATCATCCACCAGGGAAGAGTTGTATTCGTCCGCCCCTAGGTGCACGGTCTTACCATGAAACCAGGGAAGCAGTGTCTTCCAGATGGTTTGCATGGTCGGTATTGTGTCCGGATGACTGATGTTCAGCATGCTGAGATCCTTGAGACCCAGCTCTGGTCGCCATTGAACGATGGCTAGAGCGTGACCTGGAGCTTCAATCTCAGGTATGATGGTGACACCCCGACGAGCGCACTGCTGCTGAATCTGGTCAAACTGGGCTTGCGTATATGACTCGTTGACGCGCCTGTTGAGGCCTGCGAGAGCTGGATCATCAGACCACGGGCGAAAGGATGCATACAGATCCATGCTGGCCTGTGTTGAATACAGATCAACGTTATTGTAGAGGTTGTCGCTAAGATGTAAGTGGAAGACGTTCTGCTTGAAGAAGGACAGATACGAGCAGATCTCTACCAGGAAGTGAGGTGGGTAGTAATGACGACCGACGTCAAGCTGGAGGGTCAGCTCCAAATAATTGAAGGAGTGCCATGGAAAGATCACTCACCATCACTCCTCGACTGGCCCAACCAGGCGCGTCGACCCCAGAGCCATGCGGGAGAGCATGACCATGGCCACCTAGAACCGCTGCTTGGATCACTGAACGGGATCCCCACCAGACCCCGAGAGGACTCGCTCCCGCAATAGTGATTCCATGGCTGTCAACTTCCAACGCATATCCCTCCGAAGTCCACCGCCCAGCAACATCCTGAAAGCCCGTATGATTTGCGAGAGTCAGAAAGATTGTGTTGTGTCCCCTGCTCTTGTTGAAAGAGAGCGGCACATCCAGATCCAACGACGACCGAAGATCTTCTTGGAAAGTAGACGCGAACTCCCGGAGCGTCGGAGGGATCAATGTCTGGCCATTGTCGTCCACATGGTCCGAGTATCTCGAGTCTACCACAAGGCTTGTAATGTGACGAATAGGAAATGTGCCGTTGCGCTCGATGAATCCAGGGATAGTAGGCACTGTCAGCAACCGACCGAATCCTGCTTCGTGAGCGCTTGACTAGCTTTTGAAAGAAGAGTACGCACACACCAGTGACACTGAGAGCCAAAAACACGCAAATGCTACTGGAAAGACCTGTTGAAAGCATAGTGATTGCCTGCGATGTTCGAGGGAGCGATAGGCTTGCGCCACCGATGCTTAAATACCAGGGGAACCGGCTTTTTGGATCCCCGGCAATGTCACCTGCCAGGCACAGGCACCTGCCAGAGTCTGGCCATTATCTGCAAGGTTGCAACGGTTTAAATTAAACGTGTATCTCTCCAGAAGACAGTATGAGATCTGTCATTGGTGTAATAAGTCAATTGCCAGGGATGGTTATCGCTGCCCCGCACTGGTGAGGAGTTGAAACGGACTATCGAGATTAAAGCACGGGTTATTAGTGTTAGCGGTGTGACCTTCCCCTCGCCCTATGTAACCCGCACAAGCTTGGTCTGGAAAGTGCATCGCTTTCCCCCCTCTCGACACTTATCATCGTTATTGTTCTCTGGTGAGAGATATCAGATTAACTGACAGACTGCTTGGTTTAAGCTATATACCCGAATACAGCTCTCTCTACGAGACTTATCTCGGGTCGCGAGCCGGTAAGTACGTGACTGCGGCAATCTATATCCATCAATGAGAAGCCTCGCGTGGGTGTAGAAGGGCCACTGGCGGGATTCTCATTGATGGATATAGATTGCCGCAGTCACGTACTTACCGGCTGCCTCTATGTGAAGTACTTCATCGCTTTGAGTGGTTGGTTTAGGTATGACAATTGTGGGGATAACGGCGAGGAGTGAGAGAGAACAGTAGAGGATGTAGCTGCTACCAGGCCTATCCTTAGCAATACAACCTTAATGTGTCGCTATTCGGTTTCTCTGCTTCGCGTCGCTGCCAAGGGCAGGGCTGTGTCCCTGGTCCCCGAGAATGATCCATGATGGTGAAAGCGATCGCCCTATATGTGGTGTCCGAAGCAGAAACCTCGCGGTTCTCGCGTTAGGCCTCTCTAATTCAGGGCTTCCTGCAGGTTTGCTTGTTCTCCTCTGGGACATGATTAGATAGAGTAGACTCAAAAGTCCTGGATGTATAGGAAAGATGATATGAAATAGCAAAGATATTAAAAACAATAAATATAGAGAAAGGCGAAAGCTTTTGTGGACACAAGAG